GTATATTTGATCACCAATTACTCAATTTAACACTCTCATGTTCACTCATTTTTACTTAAATAAACTGGCTTCCAATCATGATAAACATTGTTTCTTTCCTTCCAATCATGACAGACTCACATGTCGGAGAGCTACAAGTCAAACCCATTCTCTACATCCGAAAGAAATAAGAGAAACATTTGCAACTGCCACCAGCAGAGAAACTGAAAAGTAGATTGGTGGTACATTTGTAGTACCCTTATCCACCATGAACTGACGGGCATCCTAATGATTCATTTCATCTAAAATCATGGCCTAAGTTACTAATGCATAGAAAAGCAGTGATAGAAGCACTTATGAGTCGGCCCTCTAAGAGGAGAAAACCCTTCCATTTAGCAAATAGATATTAAGATTAAGAGGGGTCAATGGAAAAATATTTCACCAGTCACGCAAAATTTAGGTTGTCATATTGGGTTATATATGATATATATTTAAGTATGACTAAGCATCAAGTTTTGTGGTTTCTGTTTTAGAACTTCGAGATGAAGCCTATCTGTAGAATCATACCTCATTCACTTGATTTTGCTTGTAGAAAAGTACGCCAATGTAATAGAGTTTCCTGCTCATGTGCTTGAGCACCTTGGGCTGAATCCAATCACTAGCAATGACCTGCTTAATGAGATTCACAGTGTTCTGATACAAGAAGCACCAATCAATCAGGAAATTGAATAATCAACCAATACAGCATGCTCACTATATAAAGGACAACAATCAGGGAGTAACATAAATTTAAACTTCACAGGCATGTTCTGACAGAAAATATATAAGGAGACAAATCAAATGAACTTTAGAGATCACACAATTGAAGATGATACTAACCTGTTCTTCATGCTTTGTCCTGAGTGAAACTATAAAGGCAGCCACAGGAACAGCAAGAAGGTTATCACTTTCATTGAAATCAAATCCATCATCCAATCCTTGTCCCTTTTTGTTTGCAGTGCTGCCAAATTATTAGGAAAATTCACACTGGGTAAACATAAATAGGTGATGCCATACATATCAACAAACTACCAAACATCTTATCCTAAGAAACAAAAGCACATACACAAGTTGTCTTTCTCAACAAGTAAAAGTTCCAGCTTTAAAGGTTATGGTTGAAAGCAGACCTCAAGAAACAAAAAGAAGAGTAAAGCACAACATTATAACATGGTGATCAGATGCAACAAAAGCATGTTAAAGGAATAGATATACTTGGTGAATGTACCTGTGAACAGATAACAAAGTAAAGCAGAATTGATGAAAGCCTTCCAGGATATTGCAGAGCACAGGAGAAATAGCTGTAACATCATTTCCAGCAATAATCCACGTCTTTTGCGAATTTACTAGTTCGGCAAGAGGTAGACATAAGAACGTCAATAGATTCAAGTAGGCTTTATGATAAGCATCTGCACTCTTGTGTGGGGTCCTTAATGAATTTCCAGAATAAGAAGATAGTAAGGATGATTTATTCGGAGAATGGTCCTCAAAACTGTGTTTTTCCCTACTCAGCAAGGAACCATCATAAATGTAGCTCCGCAAGGAGCCCAGAAAAGGTCCTATGTTGCTAAGTCCAATCCCATCATCAAATAAACTGCCAGGTTGAGGATCATCCTCAGATGACACTGTATCAGCTATCCTAGGCTTATAAATACGATTGTTAAAGCAGATGGAGGTAGAGTAAAGCTTGACGAACAAATCCAGTGGTGTCATGACCTGTGAAACAAGGTAATTCAAATGACAATCAAAAGGTTATTTCCATCAGAAACCACATAAGAGGTTGACATATAAACCATTAACACAAGATACCTGAGACAAGTCATCAGCTAAGTCATTTAGATGCCCAGCAACAGTACTACAAAAAACTGTACTTGCACGGTGACATTTGCTTGCAATGTAAGAGACGAAGTCAATAAATTCCAATTGCCAATTCCCCTTTTCAACCTTGCACTCGAAGGCAAGAGAATCCAAAAAACCCATTATAATTTCAAGGGTGACCGAAGGCTTGTCCTCATGAAACAAAAACAGTGAAGAACTTGCTCTGCGACAAAACTAAAAGCAAAGTCAACTATTAGAGGAACTAAAGAATATCTTGTAGTATATCTTCTGGAAGTAACGGACAAAGTATATACCTTAAACATCTGATCCTTCACTGATGATTTGGCGTAGCAGTCCAATGCCATCAGACAGAATGCACATACTAAACCTCCATCAAAATTTGTTAACTTCCCAACAAGATATTCAGCACATCTTGCAATGCAAGTTATGATAACCATATCCTTGTTCTGCTTTGTATTTTCGTCTAGAACCCTAGAGTTTTCACATTCAAACAAGTTAACAAGCAATTCTGGTATCTACTACAGATGCGGATAAAAGGAAAATTTGAAATGCAGTTCCAGGATTAACCACCAAACAGTCACACGGTAGAGGGTTTCTGACATCTAGCAAAGTACCAAATTATCCATGAAAAAATAACAAGAACAAATCTAAGCTTTCAGAAACAAAAACGATGGAGACAAGTATGCTGCAAGCTTGTCCCTGTTGGGTTAAGCTTTGCCATAAGTCAAAACCCTCATTCTTCCTAGTTATTTTCATTTCATTCTCACTGATCTTCTCAAAAGGATTATAAATGTAGAAGCAACAGATAAGAACAATACATGCAACCTACCACCTACCAATTTGACCCATATGACAAGAGCAGTATCATGTTAATAAAATTTAAAACTGCAGTTGTTCTGGCAAGGACTCCGTTCTACTCCGACAATGTAGGCCTATACCGAAAAACCATACAGAGACGTCAAATCTACATTTCTCAATCTCCTCGCTCATCCCAAACTCGGAAAATTCAGGAAAATAAAGGCAGGAAGAAGTTTAGGCAATGCCACTTCCTTATTCAAAATGCTAAACGGAAATCAATCGCATACCTGAACCAGGGTTTAACCTCTTCCACCAAGGTCATGACATTCCTATAGTCCTCATCAACGGCACTTCGGCCCAATGCCAAGCACTTCACAATGAGTGTAGCCACTTCCACTACCAGCTTCGCGAACATTTCATCATCGCCGCCCTGCCCAATCACCGGCAAAAACTTCCCCGCTTTACTTCCCTTTTTCCTCGGCCCCAAATCCAAAGCCCTGAGCCTCTCCAAAACCCCAAACCCCAAATCTCTCGCCTCCACATACTGCCCCCAACCCACTAGGCAGTGCAAAAGCCTCGCAGTCTGCAAGTAAATATCGTACGGTTTACCCACCAACTCCGAAGACAACAGTTCGTAGCAGTCCAAACACAGCTTGTAAGTATCGAACAGTTCCAGGACGAAATCCGGAGGTTTTCCTTCCTCCTCCGATGAGCCGCCGCCGTTTGCTTTCGACGGCTTGGAGAGGCGCCTGGGCAGAACCCTGAGGCATTGATTGAGAAATGGAGCGAACCGCTTGGCTATAGATCTGACGAGCGACTTGAACTCGGAATCGAGTTTGGCTTGGGGTTTTCGGGCTCTGGAACTGCTCTTCAAATTCCGGAGCTCGGCGAAGGGCTGGAGGTAGTCGGCGACAGCAGAGTAGATGGGCGGGGAAGTTGAGGTTTCGAGGATGGAGATGACAGTCGATTCTGACGCCATGGGAGAGGCGCGGTGAGGGAAAGGGATAGGAGAGAATGAAGCGAATCGAGTTTTGTTTGGCTGCCAAGGCGGGAAATTGAGCCTTCGTTTCCAATCCCCATCCCAGCCATTTCATTTCAATTTTATTCTCGAGTGGCTTCTTTTGTAAGTTTGAGGGTAATTATCATAGATAATCATACATCTTTGCACTTTGTACAAAACGGTTACAAAACTTTCAATTTAAATAAAACGATCATTTTGTCCGCCTTCATTCACAAATATGGGTTGATAAGCATCTTAAGAAGGCTAATAAACTTTACGAAATCTATTTGACTTATGGTCATGTTATCCATCCTAATTCTTAGTAGCATGACAAAACTTTTGAGTTTTGATTATCCTAATATACACTCACTATTGTTATTCCTCGCTCTCTTCTTTTTTTGTTTCGGCTTTGAGCAATTTGTTTGTGTAAGTGAGTCGACAAATGTGTGATTTAGGTCCAAATTCTCGTATACGTCGGAATTTGTCGCTTAATGTGAAAATTGAAAAAGACAAGGCGTGATATGAGTTTTTGTTCAAAATTGAGTCTCCGTCACTTTTTATATTCGACATTTATTTATGTTTTATGGTATTTTTGTTATTATTACGATATTTTGATACTTCTATTGTTATTTGATATTTTCTTATAAAGCAATAATTATAAGTAATTTAAGCGAATAAGCGAATTTTTTGGATTGTATATTCTGTAACTGAGAACTGAATTTGATAAGCTTAATTAGGAGTATTTCCTTACACTCTGTTCTTTTAGGAAGGAAAGGGAGGGAAAGGGAAAAGTGGGAGGAAAGCACATGACCCAAGAAGTTTTCCTTTGTTTTTGAAGGTTGCTGCAGGAGGAAGGGGAAGGAATTGGAGGGAAAGGTTTACTATTACACTCATCCCTCCAATTTGGAGAGAAAGCAAGGGAAAGAGGGAATGGGTTAGGCATTTGGGTGTTTCTAATAATAATAATAATATATATTATTAAATTGACATGGTTAAAATCATAATCATTAAAATATTGTATGAGTAAGTTACGTATAAAATATGTACGAGTGTTTTACTTTGATTTTTAACTAATAATAAATTTAATAATACGTCAATAATTATGAAATTATATAATTGTACCGTACGAGTGGTTCTACAAGATCGTACCTAACCAAACCGACGTTTGGACCTGATGACATCAAATTGAGTATAATATGTTTCGGTACTTGATCACATTAATTTTATAGGATGATTGTCATATTGTACGACAAAAGTAATCCAAATTTTATGGAATTTTTTTGAATTAAGTTAAAATGAATTAGATTTTAAATTGAATTTTTTTTAATAGTGAACCAAATTAGACAAAAAGAATAGATTAAATTCATTATTCAGAATTAATGAAAATGATATTAAGACATAATTAAATTAATTTACTATTACATAATCAATAAAATAACATATCTATCACACTTCCCAATATACTTTTTCTCTCTCACCTTTCCTTTCACTTTTTTTCATAAAACAACATTTTCCCTCCCCTCCACTTTTCCTTTCCCTCCATTTCTCTCCCCTCCAAATTTTCTTTCCCCTCTATTTTCCTTCCTTCCTTCGGAAACAGAGTATTAATCTCCCATATCTCTCTCCCCCATCTCACACTAGTCTAAACTTCACACTTCATTCTTTCTCCTCTAAATCCCTATCTTTACTCCCCAATTCTTTCCATATCCCGAATCCTTATTTCAATCTCCAGTTCTTTTACCCGCATATTGACAACCTAGTTTCTGGTTCTTTTGTAAGGAGCGCAATGCTCCGTTATTCAATGGGCAAAAGTTGGACGAGCATGAGATTGTACCTCCCGATAAAGTTTTTCATAGAAGACTACCGTTCATATCAGTCACTAGCGGACCAAACAGAGGCCCTTGCTCCGCTTGGTCAGTCATCGAGGTTGTGCAAAAGTGAATACAAATGTTGCCATGGTGATTGACTTTCATACTTTATCTCATAAAATGGTCAAGGTGGCACACACATAATAGGGTACAATGTATTGGAGTATAAGGTGTTTGCTAGGTGGTTTGGGTGATAGCACCTAGCATTACCGCCCCGCGAAGGTAATATGACAGTCCACATTATGACCCATCCAGAAACACATTGTAATTAAGTTGTTTGGAATGATAGACCCCTGATTTTTCTAGTTGATCGGTCAGTGCTGGACAATGTAACCACTCATTTTGATTAATATACTTCGCTAAAGTTCCGATTTTTAAACAAGTAGTTAAGGCAACATCAACCTTACTACCTTAGGTTGGGATCATTGAAGCAAAGAAAAGATGTGGAAATGTAGTGGAGTGGACAAAAAAATATCGAGCTTTTGTAGTTACAGGTTGTCAACATTTCACATATCCTACTCCACTCCATCACTTCCTTCCTTCAGAACGAAGTAAACCCATTTGGAGAACAACACAACAAAACAATAATTAAAGGAAAAAAAAACCCTAAAAAGAATCATAGGGAAGAAGACTTGACCTTCGCCATTTTCTCCCTCACCTTCCCAAAACCAGCTTTGCCTTTTTTCTTCTTTCTTTTCCCCAAAGCTAATAATAATACAGTAATAATCATCTCTTCAGCACCATCCACTACTCCACCACTACCAACAGAGTAAGAAGCTTTCCTTTTGCCCTTTGTCCACCAAACCATGTGCAGCAACTGCGAGAGAAGATCATGGCTCCACTTTTTTTCCCACACCCTTCTCTCCTTTTCCAGCTTGCCATCTTTCTTCTTCCCCCTTCTCTGCACCTTCTTTTGATCTCTTCTTCTTCTTCTTGTTCAGGGTTCAGGGCCAGGGATAAAGGAGAGAAGAACCTTAAGTTGTGTTAGCAATATATAGTAACCAAGGATGGATGAAACTGACTAGACGCTCAGTCCATCGAATCCACATTGTTTGTACGTAACAGATTGCTTCCTCGGGCTGATCACGATTGCGCAATCCACCGATACCTGCATCACCATGACCAAGAGAAGAAAAACAGATCAAGAAAATTCACAAGAGGGTTGTCAAAAGTCAATTCCTTTTTATGGTAATCTATTGTTCGAGTACAAACGTTAAAGTGAAAAATACTACACCAAGGAACGGGGTCTGGTGACAATGTGGGGACGATAACATTCGTCGCAACTAAGGTTCAATCCGTAGGACGATAGTAAAATGGGATAACATGTAAACACAATCATTTAAGGTTAGATAAACAAGCAATGAAAGCATAATCAACTGCCGGGGCCAGGGGACACCTTGTCCTACACCATAGGATTCTTCTGTGTACAGAGTTGAGAAGACAGAGACCAATCCACCATCAATAATGGCGTCCACCAAATCCATCCATTTCTTCCAGTTCACACATCACATGATCATACAACAGAGCAATTCCATAGACCAAAACTACCAAACATCCTTCATCTTTTTTCCTCCTCTCGCGATTCCCCAGGAAACTTTTGCCTTAGGACCAAATTAGTCAATCGTATTGCCCCTCAATATCAAAACACTATACCGGATTCCGCGCCAAAGAGATGAACCCAAAATGTCAACAACAACAGCAGGCAGCATCCCTAAGTTCACGAGCCAAAAACATGCGGACTTAGGGAAAAGATGTGAACTTGCAGCTCACATGCTAACGTCCGGGCGAACCTCACACACGCGGCACCGGTGATGCTGTTGATTCGGTCTACATGTTCTCAGCCGAATCCAACGACGTTAGCACGAATTGATCACCACGCAACAGCATGATGATCACGGATTCACGGTAGTTGTAACTTCTTCCTCGTTCTAGTTTCCTCCCACTAGCGCCAAAGCTTGGCAGCACATGTTAGCACCCGCAAATAATTAAGGCGGCCGCTCAGGTTAGCGGAGGAGTAAAGAATGCAGAGAGAGGCAGAGTCGTGGGCGGGACACGAGACAGTGGGGGATGTCGTAAAGATCAGACTACGAAACCCAGACAAGGCGCCAGCCCACCACTCCTCCCCAAAAATCCTCTCTCCCTCTCTCTCTCTCTCTCTCTCTCTCTCTCAAATCCCACCATTGAAAGCCTCAATCATCAGTCATCACACAGCTAATTTGTTCGATGAAATGGGTCGCATCCAAAATTTGAAGTTCCACTGATCTTAAAATGGCTGCTGAACAGAGCATTGAACTAAACTGGTGCTAAAATGGCTACTGGGTACCAGGAGACTCCTAGTGACAGCACACCCAAAATGTCAATTTCAGCTAAACCAATCATCAGACTGAACTGGGTTTCCTCCAGAATAGGAGCTAATTAAGAGATGGGAATGAAACTAGCAAAAGAAGGGATGCAGGAAGAGAATTAATGGTGGGAAGACTGACCTGAACACCAGGGGAATCGAACTCCATGACCCGGATCTTAGCTCCGACTTCACCCAAAACCCGAAGCTCCACCCGGTCGTTCAACGAAGCATCTCTAATCAAATCCGCCGCATCGGCCTGCATCAAGCTGTACCGATCGACGGCGACGGTGGCCTCAACTTTCCGCTCGCTGTGTGCTTCCTGGAAGAACCCAGGGACAGAGGCCTTCCCGAGCGGGATTCCGCGGTACATGACTGTAAACCTGGACTCGCCGTACTTGATCCCGACCTTGTTCGGGTTCACGGCGGTGAAGAGCATGTGAATCGCGAGGGAGATCGAGGCGGCGGCGGTGGTGGCCGGGTCGAAGGCGGTCGGGGTCGGGGTGTTGATCCCCATGTACTGGACGCCGACCTGCTGGAGGTCGAATTGGGGCTTCTTGGGCTTCACAGCGAGGACGACGACGAGCGCGACCGCGATGGCGATTAGGAAGAGGAGGGAGAGGAGGAGGAGGAGGCAGCAGCAGCAGCCCTTTACGGAGGCTTTTGAGGAGGTGGAGTAGGACGGGTAGTAGGGGTGGTAGTGGTGGTGGCGAGGATGGTGGTGGTGGTGCCCACCGCCGTGGTCGCCGTGGTGGTGGTGGTTGTGCGGGGCGAAAGCGGTGACGGCGGCGGAAGGAGGAGGAGGGAGTGGAGGCGTTGGTGGTGGCCCTGCTGCTGCTGGCGCCGGAGGTGGTTTTCTTTGGTGGTGGTGATGGTGGTGGTGGCCGCCGTTGAGAGCGTTGTTGTCGGCGGAATTCGGCGGCATTTTTCGGTACGGCGGCCTGCCTTTCGTTCCCTTCTCCGGCTGCTGCGGTTGCGCTGCTTGGAGGAGAAGGGGAGAGTAGAAAACGGAGGAGGAGGGAGAGAGAGAGTGTTTGCGAGTGAGAGTGACGACGAAAACTGAAAATGCAGAGAAGGAATCGGGAAAAGGAAAAAAGTGTCCACCGAAAGATACGAAATGGTAAAGAAATATAGTTAATCGGAAACATTGCAAGTTTGGTCCTGGAATTACCAAAAGTGTTCAGTTTAGTCGGTAAAAATATTTAATTTCATCGTGGTCACTAAGATTAGTTTAATATTTCAAGTGTGGTCACTCTCCGTAAATAAAGTCTGTTAAGTACTAACGTGGCAAACGAAATATTCTAATCAACCGGAAAAACACTAAACTCGCCACATCATCAAAACGGTACTTAATAGACTTAATCATTGAGGAAGAATAGCCTCACGACGATTCTGTGATCTGTAGTATTCAAAATCCAAAAAATGACATTTCTAAAAAATCACTCAAAATCTGTGATGACACTTGTTTACACCTAAAAAAATTATCTTGTACCACATTGGTGAGCTACAAGGTGATTAATGATTTTATAAAGCTACACCAATAATAACAATTATTGTTACTAAAGTTGGGCCTTGTGGATATTGATTTTAAGCCCAAACCACTAAGTAATAGTGAGCATGAACATGATTCAATGAGGGACATGAGCCCCTCGCAGGAGGCCATGTCATGTCACGAAATAGTATAAAATATTCTAAGTCTGGAGAAGGACATGTCACGTGACCATGGACGTGAGGAGTCTTCCCCAAGTCACGTGACCATGGCCCTCTTCAGTGTACAGAAATATTCTAAGTCTGAAGAGGCAGGTGCCGCTTCAACGAGAAGGGCCATGGATGAGAGATAAGAGACCCCGGTATAGTAAAAAAAATACTAAGTATGAGAAGGCCATGTCGCTTCACGGAAGAGGTACATGGACGCGAGACAAGAAGGCTAGGCGTGAGTGGAAAAAACTAAGTTTGAGAAGACCATGTCGCCTCAAGAGAAGGGCCATGTCGCCTCAAGAGAAGGGCCATGTGCATGATTGGGAGGTCCATGGCCGTGTCACGACGGTGGCCATGGATGGGCGAAAGACAAAATAGTCTAAGTCTGTGAGTTCCATGCCGCTTCACGGGAAGACCATTGCTGCAAAACAGCTAGACGAGGCAAGCTATACTCCAAGACTCCGACGGTTTTCAAGAAGAGAAGGCAGTTATGTGATGAACTGCTACTCATCTCACATTTAAGAGACACGTCGGCCACATTCCGAGGAAACAGTGAGCAGTTCTTTTTTGGGAGTTTTCCGAGGTGGTTCCTGCGACAGTTATCCACCCATGGCTATAAATAGGAGGAAGGGTCGACCGAGAGAGTGGGTTCCACAACCAAATAATTGATGCATACATCAAACTTTACCATTTTCTCTACAAATACCATAGTCGTAGATCTGGAGCTCTCTCTGAACCTCCATAGGAGTAAGGCTAATTTAATCTTGATTTGGTCTAGTGAGTCGTGTAAACATCAAACACCCTCGTTCGAACTTTTTTTAAAGAGGTGTGAACTGTGTCAAGTTGATCATTGTTCAAAGAAGTCAAGGTGCAATCAATTCGATTCAACACAAGTTTTTCTCGCCGGAAAACATCACCCCTTTGGAATATGCCAAAAATGGATCTGGATTCCCCCCCCCCCCACCAAATCGGTGCTAAATAGACTTAATTATCGGTGAAGAATAACATCAAGTATTATACGTGATATGTAGCCTTCAAAATCAAAGAAAAATGTCATTTCGAAAAAATCACTCAAAATTTGTGTCTTATCCCTTTGGAACCAAAAATGGACCCGAAAAATATCCGTCCAAATCAGTGCTTAATAAACTTAATCATCAGTGAATAATAGTCTTAGATCAAATCCATGATTTCTAGCCTTCAAAATCCAAGTAAAACACCCTTTCAAAAATATCGCCCGAAATTTGTGACGAGACACCCCTTTGGAGTCTGTCACAAATGGAACAGGAAAAAATCCGCCCACATCGGTGCTTAATAGACTTAATCATCAATGAATAATAGCCTTAGTCCGAAACCATGATCTGTAGCCTTCAAAATCTAAAGAAAATGACATATTGAAAAACACTCAAAATCCGTGATGGTATCCCTTTTGGAAAATGGACCCAAAAAAATCCTCCCAAAATCGTTCTTAATAGGACTCAATCATCAGTGAGGAATAGACTCAGGATGAATCTGTGATCTGTAGCCTTCAAAATCCACGGAAAATGACATTTCGAAAAAATTGCGCGAAATATATGATGATACCCCTTGGGAATTTGCCTCAAATGGACTTGAAAAAATATGCCAGCATCGGTGCTTAATAGACTTAATCATCGGTGAAGAATAGCCTCAGACGACGCCGTGATCTGTAGCTTTCAAAAATCAAACGAAAATGGTCCTTCCGAAAATCCGCCAAAAATATTACTAAAATGCCTCCCGAAAAAACCTGCTCAAATCGGTGTTTAATAGACTAAATAATCGGTGAAGAATAGCCTTAGACCGAAACCATGATATGGGGCCTTCAAATAAAAGGAAAATGACATTTCAAAAAATTTGTTTGAAATCGGTGATGACATTCCTTTGGAATATGCCAAAAATGAACCCGATTTCTTTTTTGTACAAATCGGTGCTCAATACTTAATAGAGTTAATGATTGGTGAAGAATTATATCAGGCCAAATATGTGATATGTTGTCCTCAAAATCCAAGGAAAATTACCTTTCAAAAAATTCGCCAAAATATTATGAAAACGCCCTCTAAAAAAATTCGTCCAAATCGGTGGTTAATAGACTTAATCATAAGTAAAAAATAACCTCAAGCCGAATCGTAATACGTAACCTTCAAAATCTAATGAAAATGACCTTTCGAAAAAATCATATGAACATTCAACTTTACAGTTAAGCCCATCCTCTCACCTCATCACTCAGAAGCATTGTTATAAGAACCAAAACAGATTAATTGTCGGGCCAGTAGAACCGTCAAACCAGTTACGATAGCACAGTTCATTGCTTGGACATTTATTGATGAACCAAACGGGTTTTCACGGTTTAACATAAAATCAGATGAACCACCGCGCTTTAACTTGTCCACCGGTTCACTATTTTAACCAAAAAAAAATTTAAAAATACTTTAACATAAACTAAGACCATCAAACCATAATTATTAATTTTATATGCTCTTCTTCTTCTCCTCATTTTTCCAACCTTGGTGTCAACTTTATGATGTCCACTATCGACTGTCACCGTAATAATTTGAATTAAGAAAATTATGATTTCTTTTTGCGAAACGGTTTGAATGGTTTATTAGATATTTTGGTGATAATATGAATTCAACAAAATTGTTTATGGTCAATGACAACTTAATTCTCAGATCAGTGTATTATACAAGTTTTATATGTTATATATCATGAACGATTCTATCAACGGTTCACCAACGGTTTTATAACAGTTAAATCACTGAACCCTAAACCACTAATTTTTGCGGTTCAGCCAGCCTCCCATCCAGTGAAAACAGAGCTCACTAGGGATGGCAATCAAACCCATGGCCGCGGGTACCCGACCGCCCCGACCCAGTCAACGCGGGGAATCCCCGCTTTGACCGGGTATGGGGCGGGTATGGGTAAAACCCGCAAAAAGTTTGATGGGTATGGGGCGGGTATGGTTTTAGTCTCCCCCGCCCCATACCCATACCCATACCCGCCCCACCAAGAGAATTTCTTCACATATAAAAAATATGTGGATTAAATTGTAATCTATCAATGATGATGATGATAACTTGAGAAAATAAATAGTAGAAATACAATTGAGTAACCACCTTAAACAAAACCTAATTCATTTCCCTCAATTATCCTTCCACTCTTTCACTTTCCCCCTTGTCAACAAGATTATGTTAGTTAATTATTACTTAGTAAATGTATCAAGAGTTAGAGCATAATAATTTAAAAAATATTGTAGTCTATATTATGTATTAATGGATGTTTTAGGATCATATTCTTTGAATCGTATTTAGAAAATGACCGTGTTTTGTTGACTTCATGATATAATAGGTTTGTTTATGGTTATAATTAAAACTTTTCTTGTAAGTTTTAGGTATAATAATGTTGGATGTACGGGGATGGGTATTACCCATGGGTACCCGAAACCCACGGATATGGGGATGGGTTTGCAAAACATTCCCCCGTATGGGTATGAGGCGGGTATGGGTTTGGGTATTTGAAGATGGGGATGGGGATGGTTTAGGCAAACCCGCCCCAAACCCGCCCCATTGCCATCCCTAGAGCTCACAAGTGAAAACCGCAACACATTAGTCCCCATTCATGGTCAAAATGTTCTCTCCCTCTATCATTACCCTCTACCAAGAACAAAAAAACCTGAGATTCCAAAAAGTCCTTCTCCGTCCGTTCCTCTGTTTTGGACCCCCGATCTCGACTCGACTCTGCCGCCACCTGCAAACTCAGTTGAACGCCACCTTTTCTCCCCTCCCATACTCTGTTTTCCGTCGCCTTTACAGGGAAAGTTCCATTTCTCTTTGGGAGATTCCATTTCCCAATTTGAAGTTATAAAAACTACTTCTGGAGGAGTTAGCTTCTTTGTCAAATTATAATGTAAGGTGCCCTTTTCCCTGCTCCGTTCATTGAGAGACTCCAAGGGCCTCCATTCTTTTTTGTTCTTCTTGGTCTAAAGAATCTAAGGGTGCCCTTTTCCCTCTGCTCCATTCTTTGAGGGACTACAAGGTCCTCCATTCTTTTTGTTCTTGGTCTAAGAATCTCTCCCACAAAAAGTACTCATTTATACTCTTTAATAAGCTGATCATATATATTGATCACTAGCTCCCATCAGCCTTGGCTTCCACCCACCTGAAAAAACAGGGGAAAAACAGAGCAGAGCAAATTATCAAATGAGACCCTCCTTTGCATCTCTTCTTGCTGCCCTCGTAATCTTCTTCCTTTTCGTCGCCCAGCCTCGCTTTGTGCAGTCCCGGACTCTGTTAAAATTTCGCGACCATGCGAATAGCGAAGTTGCTGCCACAGCTACTTCATCTGCATCTGGTGCTGCTGCTGCTACTGACCATGTCGAGAGAGCTTCGGAGAAGGTGAAGGATCATGGCGGCGGAGGAGGGGAAGATCCTGGTCCGGCGGCGGTTGTGAAGAGTAACTTGGCATCGGGGCCGAGCAGGAAAGGTGAAGGACACTGATGAGTTTCCAAGAGGGAAGGTCTTATATATGTATATCAGGAGGGTTATAGACTATGGCTGTACATTTGTTGGTTGGTTCTTTTCTGTGGTGAGAATTAGTATATAGAGTTAGGATAATGAGTGTGATTAGTTCGGGGTTGGGGAGCCAAGAAGAGGAAGAAGAAGAGGAAGAATTGGATGGTGGAATTCTTCCTGCAAATATTATATCAGACTGTTGCTATTCCCTTTGTAAACAAAACGAAATGAAATTCATTTACCAGAAAATGACTCCCAACCACATGGTCACCAAATTCATTCTATGATCATGGCAGAAGGCCACTGTTTCTCTGTTTTTCCTAAATCACAACATGAGATTGCTACAACTCGAGAAGATTAAATACTAAAAAAAAAAAAAAAAATCAATCCAAAACAACAACAAACAAAAGGAAACTCATCCACACCATAAGGGCTAACTCAAGGAGACGATATGGCTACATAATCTAGTTTGAATTAAGATAAAGAGGCAGAGCTTACCCTCGACACGATCACTGATCGGGGTTCTCAGGCAGGGACGAGCTGTCTTGACCGCCTTCGTCCATCTTCGAGGCATCATCAACTTTTGTGTCGTTATTATCCTCCACAGCTGCTAGCACGTCGTCCATCATGTCATTGTCATCCTCCCCAACAATGATATCTTCCACGTCATCATCTTCTCCGTCTTCATTGTCACCTGGGATCTTTCTTGTGGTCTTTGGACCGTGCTCGAGCCTATGGGTCTCCAGCTCTTGGTCCATTGTTTCTTGCAAGTTCGCGTCGTTGTTGGTACCTCTCCTAGCTTTCCTTGCATTTTGCCACCTCTCTAGCTCTTTCTCGACGTTGTCAAGGTACTGCGTCTCTATCTGCTTCTGGTACTCGGATAGCTCCTCTCTTCTTGCGGCTTTCCATTCCGATAATAACTGAAACCACATCACAGTTGAGCACAGGAAGAAAAATATCAGTTGCATTCCAAGCAGGATGATCAGGACACGGAAGAATTGAGTCCTCATTTCAGAAGTGGAGCCCTGCTTACCTGTTCTTGATGCTGCTGTTGCAAAGTTGCATCTTCATCCAGTGGTTTCTTTGGCATATAACAAATAGGAGGTTCTGCCTTGGTCCTGAAAACCAATTGAACAACAATCACTATGAATCAAACATAGATCATTAGCAGAAACAGAATCCAACCTATAATATCCCGGAAAGGATCAAGAAAATTAATGCTTCAGCTCTTCAACACTGCTAAATGCACGTGAAAAGAAACTTATCTTCGTCCCAATAAAATGTGAATATGGACACTTTTGGACCTAAGTTAAAAATAACCTGCACGGGGAAAAACTAACATTAACAAACATTGCCAGATGGTGAAAGTAGCTAGGAACAAAAACAGATTCACTTGACAGGAAGAGATGTGCCTTGTAAAACGGGAAAGCTTTTTATGATGCTCGGTCCAACGGAGAAACAACAATTCCAACTTCTTTTCTTCTGCCTTTGCAGCAACTCTTGCCCTAAGAACCTGGAGATCAGAAATCGGGAGAAAGTAAATAGGGTAACAAATTTTGTCACTCTGCAAAAAGCAACACAGACAACTAAGAACAAACCAGATCTCTCCTCCTCTTTTCTGCTATCTTTTCACGCTCTTCCTGTCTCAGCCTTTCACTTTCTTCACGGGCTCTTTGCTCAGCCTAAGGGAGTTTCAGATGTTGTTAAATTATAGACCACAGCGACAACAAGGGAAAGGTAAATGTTGTGAAAACTTGTTCTCAGTGAAGATCAATAATACCAAGCCAACATAGTAAACAAGTCATAGCAAAAAAAGTGAGATTCCATGACATATCCGAAACTGTGACTACACAAGATATTAAGAATGTATCACCATCCCTAAAAACATATGGACTAGGGGATTCTTATTACCTCTTATAACCTACATGTAGTTCCAATTTAACAAATGACAGTAACTATACACAAATCATCCGTATAGGATAGCAATAAATAAGATAATTGGAAAAAAAGTCATTGTGTTTAAGCTCCTCTTTTATCACATTTACTGAGTAAACCAAAACCACAGCAATAATGGAGTGGGGATAGCATGGAATCCAATCTCACCTTTTGCAAAGCATTTGACCTCTTTGTGTATGCCTCAGTCCCTGAGAGCTTCATATCCTCTTTTCTGAATTTCTGGAACAGTTCAAACAAAAGATGTGACAATGTTATAACTTGAAAAAACGTTCCCTGAAATACTTTTCACGCATTTAGAGTGGCCTCGTGCAAATAAATCAAAACAGAATAGAATACCCTGGCCTGGACTAAAGTGCACTTCTGAGTACATTCTCAAGGAAGAACTTGGGTCAGATAGCACAGGAATTGAAACAAGCATATGCATTAAAATCAATCCTCAATTCCTCATATACATGCTATACAAGTATGTTCAAGAATATGGGAAAAATGCTTTGTAGTGCCCATACGCAGTGTCCTTAACTAAAGAACATAACCAGCTACAGTGAAGCTACTGCATATTTTCGTAGGCCACCCATTGTATATCACTTTTGATTTGCAGGATAAGTGAGTATGTTATGGGGAGACAGACTCGAAGGAATTAATTCACAGACAATCCAACATCTAACAAAATCTCTTTTGAAGTGCAATCAGGATGAACAGAAAAGAGAGCAGCTAATAGATGTATTTGCACCATACCTCCAAGGTACCTAGAAGCTGCCCCAACATCCTCTTGTTTCTGCTAACCAAACTAGGGTCCTCATTCTTCGGCAACACCCTTGGCACATGCACATCAGGTGGAATGTCTGAATCCTGACAGCAAAAGACACTAAATGAATGACAACTTCTACACTTGACTAGCAAACAAAGGACGACGACCTATGCACTATCTGGACAGTAGGTCACAACAGGCAGAATATAAAATGCCAAGTCTTACTCTTCTCGGTGGTCGTTGGTTCCAAGGCAAACCACCTGGACATGAATTTGGCGGCTTTACTTCATCTTGATGATTGTTGATGGCTGCAACATTAGACCCTTCCTCCTTAACCCCCTTCTTAGCTCCGTCCTCGACTATCTCTCCATCCTCAGCCTACATTCACAAATCCCACAACAGCAGTTGAGCGAAATGTCATGCACTCATTCAAGAGTAGAGGAAGAAGAAAACTTCAGTAACACATGGCAACAAATAAACCCAAGGAGTAATACTAATACAGTAATAGACATATCTTCAACTCAAGCAATCTCCCAATTTGTCATCCCAGAGTTGAAAAGCATTCATCCATATAGACAATGCTGCAAAAAATGCGTACACACTGAACAGATAAAAGATAGCATTACCTTAACAACAGCAGAGAGAAGCCGTTTCTTTGCAGGAGGCTGATCCCCTGAGTCATTCCTATCAGCCTGAGAGAGAGCTTAAGCTCAATCATTACGAAAAAAAATTCAAACTATTTGCTAGAGATTAGATCACGTATAAAAGGACCAACAGACATACCGGCCGAACAAACACTCTTTGAGGACCGCCGTTAGAGGCGAAGTTCCTCGGACCGCCACCGGGCAGACCTCCACGTCGGAGCCCCCTAGGATCACGTAACCGCTCCGTTATCTGAAAATTTCCGTACAACAACATGAGAGCCGATAAACCAATCAAATCATCAGCTCCAAGTACCAAATTACAATTTTTGAAGAAGATGACAACGAAGCGAAACGAACCTGGCGCTGCTGGCGGTGGAGCTCATCGATCTCTTTACGAAGCTCTTCCTCAGTCTTCTCCGGCGCCGCTGCTACGCTCATTCTCACTCGAAGCTCTGATTGCTCTCCGATTGGGTTCGGTTCGGCTTGAGTAGAGCCAAAGAAAACCCTGGCGAGGAGAGGGCTTTTGTGGAATTAAAATTAATTATTTCAACGCAAGCAGTCAAAGCGGTTAGCCTCAAAACGATGCCGTTATCAGGTAGATATAATCATCTAGAAGCCCATCCTCTGTTTCCCACTTTCCCTCTCAATCACAGTCTCCATTTTTGGATTTCCCCCCTTTTCCCCCAATGAAGTCGATCAAGAGGAAGCAACCGTTTCTTGATCTTCCGATCATCTTCCTCCTAATCGCCGCCGCCGCCGCCTTTCTCCCTACTCCGGCGAAAGCGATCCCAACTGACTCACTCGACTACGTCCTGTACTTCCTCCGCAGCCGCGGCCACTCTCTGTTCGCCAATGCGATCTCCACCTCCGATCTCCTCTTCGACGTCCTCTCCCTCCCTTCCCTCACTCTCTTGCCTCCTGTCGATCCGGCGCTCTTCGCGATCGACATGACCGAATCGCCGGAGCTATACCTCGCCGTTCTCCGCCTCCACGTCCTTCCGTATCGCATCGACCTCCGCTACCTCCAGAACAATGCTTCGCTCCACACTCTGGTTCCCTCCCGCCGCCTCCACGCCACCAGAGCAGATCCGCCAGCCGCAGCCGCCGCCGCTCTTCATCTTGACGGCGTGAAGGTCCTCTTCCCCGCTCTGTTCGACTCCAGCATTGTCGCCGTCTACGGATTGCAAGGTGTGCTTCCTGCTCGCGTCGTCTCCGTCACAGACTCACCTCCGTTTCAGTGGTTCCGTCCTCCGCCAGTCACTCCACGGAATCGGAATTGGAATCGGAATGCGACGGTGATTCCTCCTCTGGTTCCAGCTGCCGGGCCGGCTCCGTTTACACGCCCGATTTCCCCGCGCCGAGTTCCGAGATCAAGCGGAACGAATTCTCCATTGCCGGATAACAGACCGGTGGTCCTTTCTCCTCCTCCTCCTCCAGTGAATCTAACGGATTCACCAGAATCAGCGCCGGGAGATTCGGTTCTTGGTGTTCATCCGTTTGGGCGAAATGTAACTGTTCAAACGAATCAGACGAGTCTTCCTTCGGCTGATTACGGGGCCCCTGCTCTTCCTCCAATTTCGACTCCTGGCAACAACTCCGCCGTTCCTCCTGTTCGTGCTAATCGTGGCGGCGCTCCTGCTTTTCCTCCAATTGACGGGAGCAGTCCGACGGCTCAGATTAGTTTGCCTCCGGCCATCAGCGACAATTTTCTTCCTCCAGAGCAAGAAGTTGATAATCAGACGGCTTTCGGTGTCCCTCCGATTTTACCACCATCTTCAGTCGACGGCGCTTCGATTGCTCTCCCTCCCAGTCCGGTGTCCGTGGTGGAAACTCTGCCGCCGGCTGTTTGTCCTCCAGTTAACCTGACTGAAGTGGCGGTTATGGTCCCGGCGGGTCAATCTCCGCAAGAATCGGCTGCAAAAACATCGCCGTCTCCAGGCGTCGGAGATGGTGATTGGCCGGGACACAACGTCGGCGAAGCCACAGCCTCCGGCAACGACTATCCGTTCCCGAAGAGAGACGACGACGAGGACTGGGAAGTGCCTGCCGGGGAATTGGCCGAGGTCACCCTTGGACCGGCGGGGGACCACGTCAGCACTCGGGATGATTACGCAATGCTGAGCCCCGACGGTGTGGAGTATCCATGATGTGGGCTATTTCGTAAAGCTGGGTTTGTATTGGGCTTTGAGTATTTGTTGGGCCGGAACAAGAGAGCTAGTGGCCTTTTTCTTTTCACTGGATCTTAAACCACTGGACGTGAACTGTAAAGAATCTGAGCTCTTCCTTTTCTGAATGAAACTGCACCGTTCATGTTAACATGAGGTGCTGCTCCACTTTCGACCCTGCAATTCATCCTTCCATTCATGTTTACATGTTACTTTGAAAGACAATCAAATGCTTTTCTAAATAATAACTGATAAAAAATTTACGTCAGTTTCATTTCAACAATGGTGCTCTGACGCATACAAGAGACTAATGGAATGGCAGAAGACAGAAGTAGAGAGGCCAGGCAAATGAGCAGAGGAAAACTTGTTGATAGCAGGAGGAACAAAAAAGTGTACTGTGTGTTCAGTCTTCGTCCATACCATGGCCGCCATCCTCCACGTTGTCGTAACCATCGTCATCCCCTTGGCCTTCATCGTCTTCACCGCCAACATCTCCAGTATTAAGAGCATAATTCATCATGTCATTCTCCATTTCTGCCGGCAACCCTCCTTCCAGCAATTCACTATGGATGGTCTTCTTCACTGCGAACGACTCCAGATTCGAATCGCTGAAAAAGGACGCATAAGGCTTCGACACCTGCACACCGAGAAACGGCACAGAGCATGATAACAGTATTAACAAGCTGTGGCTTCGAGACGTGCAAGCAAGTGCTGGTGTTCGGTGGTGTCTGTCTTTACCTTGAAAAGGACATTCCTCTTCTCTGCACTTTCAATGAGGTTGCTCCAATGCTCATCCCGCCTCAATGTTGATGCTGATCCCACAACCTGAACACACCTAGACTAATTAGCGAGCGAGCAGAAAATGTGGTGGCAACTAAGAACGACATTCGATATAACTACACTAAGATATCGTACCAGAACAGTGGACTTTGCTCGTGTGATCCCAACGTTCATTCTCCGTGCATCTGACACAAACCCAATCCCTTTACTCTCACTTGCCCTCACACAAGAGAATATTGCGACATCCTTCTCTCGACCCTGACATTTCATTTCAAACACCGCATCAATAAAAATCTTGTCAACTTTAACAATTCTGAGCTGTAAAGGAGATTACTTGACACACAAGTACAATGCAAAGCAAAGCAAAGAAGAAAACTTAGCCTTACCTGGAAACCATCAACTGTTTGAATATCCACAAACTCCCTTGAGTCTTGACCGAAATTCTCCTTGAATTTATCTTGCAGAAGCTTCACTTGGTATCTATATGGGGAAATGAGGGCGAATTGTGAACTTGACCCGAGTTCTGGATGCATGGATACCAGCTTACGGTACAGAAGGAGCACAAACTCAACTTCGTCCGTGTTTACATAGGACCCACTTCCCGAGGGCTGGGACTCTTGTCCTTCGTGTAAATCAAAGAAGCAAAATGGGCTAAAGCACCGGTACTTGTGCCAGTCACGTTTGGTCTTCTCCTCCATATCTGTTGCATCCTGCAGAGCCTCGTCGTAGAATTCACTGGAAGGGAAGTGTCTAATCTGTTGACAACCAACCACCAGATATATATAAATCTAAACTCAGAAAAACTAAAGTTTTTAATAAATCGGGCTAGAAAAACTCACCTCTGGATGCATCCGGTACTGCACCTTCAGCATATTTACTGGATAGCCAGCTCTTTGAAACCTCTCAAACAAACTTGTGCAATAACTTCAAAAGTCAAAACAATGGGGAAAGAAAAGAAGTGGAAAGATTCAATCAGAATAATTTATATGGCGAAACAACAAGGTCAATATGTGTGCAGGAAAAAGCACACTGGGGTACCCAAATTTGCTGGCAGTAGAAGAAATTACAGTGGCTGGTAATTGCACTGGATCGCCCACCTAAGTACAAGTACAAAAAATTGCAGAATCAACAAAAAACAGGAATACTAACAAGGAACCATCTATGTTATACATAAATAAATGTCCTCAGAAACTTTAATAAGAGCTGACAGGGAAAGGGAAATACCAGGAAAACTTGTTTGCACCCATTGGACAAAGGAACAAGAGTTGCTGGTTCCACCTGTTTCATCAGAAGGAAAAAATAAATCAGTAATGTATTGAACTGTAATAGGAGGTACATATCCGTTAGTTATGTGACATTACCAGCAGTTGACAAACAAGATTAACCAAAACAACGGTACAAAGCACGGATTTTGGGCCCTAACATACTTTGATATCTTTCTAATTATTTGTTAACGAACATAAAATTGCTTATCAATCTCAATTAGGTTCCACGTTGAAGTTTAATTGAATAAAGATGGCTCGCTAGAGTTTTCCCTCTAAACCACCAATGAGAATTTCAAATTTTATCTTGAATGTTTCCCTATTGAATGCTAGGGCACTACCACAACTTTACAAGCATGCAAATTAATATCCTAATACCCCCATCATTGATTTCTTAAGTGAATTCTACATGCTAATTGATGACTCCACAATCAATCAAACTGTTTCTTAGAAAGAGTGAAGGTTTAGATGTGAGATTAGGGACTAACAGCTTGGGCGGCTTCGTCAATTATTACTACATCAAAGTCATGATTCAATTTACTAAAAAGTGCTGAACCGCTGAAGCTGAGAGTTGAAAAGACCTGCAGAACATTGAGCATATGTCATGAGAATAAAAGGATGATAATTTCCTTGACACTGAGCGATATTTGGTATGAATGATTCAGTCAGAACAGCCCATCAAATTCCCAATTCAGCATGGCACAAGGTTACATACAATAACAGCCTCGTCAAGAATTGAAGAGCGGATATTATCTATATCTCCTCCAGCAGCTCCATGTTTTTGTTTTTCAGCAGCTGACTCAGATTGCTTTTGTCTCACCTGCAGACAGATTTCTGTTGTGTCAGCAACTGACTCTTCATCAGCATATGCAAATTACATAATAAGCAGGAAACATTATGGAGAAGAATTTGGGAATCAAGCTGTTGTCACTGCTGTGCGACTTGGATGGCAGCATAACAGCTTTCTTACCCCCAAATGGGATCTGGCTTTAGTGATATGGGACTTAATTTGGCTGTAATGATTCATGAATCAACCAAAAATGAGTTCGCAAACTGACACCAATGCATAAGAGTGAGTGAGAGGGGGGGGGGGGGGGAGGGGGTGTTTGGGGTGGTGGGGTGGGGAATGGGAGGGAATCGGCTTTTCATTAGTTCCAGGTACGTACAAGGTAATCCATGCTGACTGACTGAACTGAGTGATGTGCTTTCAGACCAATGCGCACAATTTTAGGGTTATAAGTGTGAACAGTTTCATCAAGAACACCTGCAGAAAAGCAGAGAAGTTACAGCTCAGATGCCAGAAAGAAAATCACACAATTCGAAACAAGAACTCACCAATGGCCATCTAAGTTAGACGCGCAAGGAACAATATTAGTTTGAATACTCCACTGGTTTCTATCTCAGTCCGAGATGTAGGAACCCTAACTATTGATTACAAAGGTATAACTCTCGCCACTCAGTATGTTCCAAGTGCCAGTATAAAAAGTTTAAATGGATTTGGAGAGTTCCAACAGGTCAATAGAATGCCATAAAAAAGTCATTCTCTCTTAAGAGCAACGGGAAAATCCTTCTAAACTCAATGGCTTTGTGCATGACATAAGATGAGACCACCAATACATGAAGAGAAGCTTGTACCATTTCTGAGAAGGCGCAACACTATCTCATCAAGGGCAGAATTTGAAGGGGCACATACAAGTACTCGTAGCCGATACCTGCGGCTCGATGCAATTATTTCTGGTTTCTGCAGGAGTTCAGAACTTATAAGAAACTACTCAATCCGATTACATAACAAAGGGAAAATGAATCGTACCAGCTCACTTCCTGTGGTAGGAAAGAAGCCATCATCACCGCCTTTAGGCATAATGGCATCTCTAGGATTGACACCAGCTAACCATGGAGATGCTCGTGCCCAATTTGTGTACCTGCAACCATTAAATGCATTCAACCATTCATCGAAAGGAAGGCTCTGGTTTTCATTGGACCAGTAAATCATGAAAGCACTAGATGTGATTTGTGAATATTTGCTGAGAAACACGTGAAACTTTGAATCTCTAGTTAAATAGTCTCTCAGACCGAAGAATGTATCCTGTAAGTTAATATTCTCTTAAAGAGATGCAAGTGTATTGTTTAAGTTACATACTTGTGGATTTGTAAGAGCAACAGTACAAACTAGAGCTAAGTAATTAGGGTCCAGTCAGTCACCAGGTACGTTACTGAAAGAACTCTAAACACTAACTGGTATAGACATGACACTTCTTCCCCATCTCAGAAATACAAATGGATTGAGTGACTGCTTCTACTAATATCAGAAGCACCAGCGACACCCTAAGGGCATGAACATGTGCAATTATGCGCAAACCGTAGTAGTATACTCAATCTGCACAATCATTAAGGAAAAGGGAGACAACTAGTACATACTTGTCTTGAATTGAAAGTTGTGGTCCACTTTTAGTTTTAACTGACCCGGCCCTGTTCAATAGCAGAGAAGAGACATAAAAATCGACCTCATATATATGTAAAGATAAAAACATCCATCAGATGGCATGCCACATGGGAAGAGGAAAGGATAGAACGATCATAAAATATAAACAAGGGCATAATGTTTCTCACTTGGTGTGCACTCGAGCTGGAGTGGCATGAAGAATAGCACTAAGAAGTGCAAGAATAGTCTGTGTTTTTCCAGTTCCTGGAGGCCCCTACAGATTACAAGTCTTGATTCTATTAGCACACACAAAGCCCGATTTCTTATGGCCCCAATAGTTTCAAAAAGTGTGTTCTCATCATTAAGCAGCAGCATCTCTATTGTTTGCATGCCTTAACAGAAACTGTAAAAAAGAAAAAGTGACCTTGTTACATGTCTCTATTATTTTATTAAAGAACTTAGACCTGGAAATACTTCATCTCTACATTTCCACTATTGCTTCAACAAAACAAGATTATGACATGGAAAAAGAAAAGATACTACAGGATCCAAATAAAGAGAAAAGAGAAACAGATTATGTACCTGTATCAACACAAACGGTTTACGTGATAGACCAGCCTGCAAATAACAAACTGTATAAATTAGCACTGCTACCTTGGGAAGTCCTATTAGATACTAAGTTGTAATTAAGTGCATCTATTAGGTTTTTGTAAGTAAAAACTCACATTTACAGCTTCTATCTGCGACGTGTTAAGAGTTTCTTCAAAATGTCCACGAAGAGCTTCAGAAACTTTCCACGACTGGTCTTCTGAACCAGTTCTGTCTGTGGCTTTTATGATTAAATCTTTGAAAGGAAGAGATCCAATTGACCGCAAAGCTATATATTCACGTGAAATGGTTGACAAACTGCCTATCTGCAAACAGAACTTGCATACTATGAGGTGGGCCACAATCAAGTGGAATGCAAAGAAGAATTATTCCCTTGATACTATATCTATATATGTAACGAAAGTGAAGTATTGACAGAGCACTACTGAAGCATGCACACTACTTCTCAAGACATGGCAAGTGTGCTTGCTCGTTACCATATATCTGAAAACCCAAACAGGTCCACTCTTGCCCAGAACATAAACGACCAAGGGTTTACACAAGGTTCTTTAACTTGCCTAGGTTTATCTGTGTTAAGAGTATAACCTTAACTCCTCTTTAGCACAGTGTCCCAAGAAGAACAGATGCTAAATACTATTCATTTTCATCCTTTGATGGCACAATTTTGAATAATGAGAAGGTTAAGCACTTTTCTTTCAGCACACATACATCTAAGAAGACCAAGACCTACGCTTCAAAAATATCATCACCAAAACCAGGAGTGCTACAAGCCAGAGTTTTACACAAAACCATATTCATTCTGCCATGAACAGTGAAACAAAACTAGATGGTCCAGTTTCGCAGTTGAAGTGAGTAATAAAAGGCAAAGATCACATGTTAAGAGCTGGAAAAGGTAGTTAGTTACCTTTAAGCTCCACAAGGACTTCTCTTCTGGGTTTACAGGAGCAGTTATAAGAGCCTGCATGTTTAACAGCCTCTGCTGGGATTCAACAACATCTAAATGCGTGCTCTTGATTTCTCCAGCCAAACACATTCTAAGCCTAAGACCAGTATGATGGGTATGTTCCACCAGAGCATAAGCATATGCTGTTGCCTTGGTCTGAAATATACAAAGAAAACCCCAGTCGATACTATAAATCCAGGAAGATCCAGTAGATAGAAAACCAAGTTCAGGAAAGCAGAATTAGTACAACAAGTTAGACATATCCTTCACGTAGATAACCCATCTCATGAACCACATTCTTCTCACACCATTTGCTCAATAGTCGCCTAAGTCATTGCATTCACAATAATCAACGCTAATAGAATAGAAAAGAACAGACTAAAATTGTAAGCTCACAGAAAAGAACACAACACAAACGCCAGAGAGGAAGAAAAGAAGGCCAAAGCATAAAAGAGCTGTAGTGGCCTGGTGTCAAGCTAGAGCATATATGTTCAGAGCAAATTTCACCATGGGGTATCATTACCTTCTCTTTGGAAAGAAGCAGCAGATCATTTTGGGAGATCCTGTTTTCCTCTTTATCCCCATGAGTAACTGCTACCTGGAAAAACCCTTCCACTTCATTACACTCCGTCACCAGCCTCATCTCCCAATCCGTCACTACAATGTACCCCAAAAAACATAAAAGCAAGTCAAACTCTCAAGTGATTACAGATAGCTACACGGACCTCAAGTAAGATTACAAGCTTGAGCAGAATAATAAGTAACCTTCTTCGTCATCTTTATTCTGAGTAATATTGGCTTTGACTTCCTCGAACAAGAGCGGCTCGAATGTGGAAAGGTAATCATCAACGTCTTTGTAGGAATTCTTCACTTTTTTCAAACCGGCCGCGTCGTTCTTTCCATTGTCTTTCTTTTTCTTCTGTTGAGTAAGCAAAACAGGACGATTGACATTGACAAAAAAAAAAAAAACAACGATAGTAACTGCAAGGGCATTGAAGGAGGGAGATAACAAGAGCGGAGGTACCTCGGCGCCGGAGAGAAGGCGATAATGGTCCCAACCGAGGACGATTTTACAGAAGCGGTTGAAGGAGACTTCCTCCTGAAGCTTCTCTTTGTCCGCAACCGCCATTCCCCGCGCCTTCCCTTGCTTTGCTCAGATGAAAACAGGGAAGTGAGAATGAACGGCGGGCGGGAACGGGGATCGTTAATTCAGTTCGAGTGTCTCTCTCAGTTATGTCGCCGGCGGAATTGGGTTTCGGTTTGCTTTGGGGGTTCAGGGCGGGTTTTGCAGAATATAGGAAAGGAAACTTACATTTTTGTACCCGAACTTCCATTGGGTTCGCTTTCCAGTCCCGTAATTTCTCTCTCGTTGAGGTTTGGGAATTAGAGGGCAATTAGGGTGGAAACTGTTCCCGCCAACCACTAACTATTTTGCAACTTCCTAATTAACGTGGTGTATATTGAACTGTGAAGCCCTCACTTTTCTAATGTCCATGGATGTTAGGCAATGGTAATATTACATGTCAAATGAAGTTCCATAATTTATGATAATTTAATATACCAGATGATAATTTCGCAAAAAATTACAAAGTATAGATCAAATGGTTGTGGATTGCATCATCGAAACAACCATACTAGGACATCCCAGCTCCAACGAGCGCTAAGCTCTTAACTAGATTGCCTTTGGAGTCGAAATAGTCATCTTGTGACATAACTGTTAGTGTGTGGTATATGATCCACGATTGAACCTCTCCCAACCACTCGAGTTATTGGGATCAACTCGAGTTATGTTCAGGTTCATGACAATAACTAATACTAGGAATCCAATTAGGTCGCAACGCCCATGGATATGGGAAGTTCATAAGCAAGCCAAGACGTGCAAAGTACAACCCAGCTGATTTGATGATAACTTTGGATGATCAAATGTAACTGGTTTCTGAATGTTGGGACGCAAAACATCAAATCCATTCAGAATCACATACGTAGCCACAAAATTTGACAAAATTCCCTATTATGCTGCACATCCTAGTTCCCGATAGAATTCGATTGTATGTACTCATCTCGCCCAGATGCTCGATAGACAGATTCGACAGGTTATCTGAACGTCGTCATGTCAGTGCTCCAGGTAGAACACGTATTCTGTCAAGCGCTGCAGCTTGCCTGAGTCCAGTTTCTGCTCTACCGCAACAGCCTGTTTCTTCACGGTTAGCATCTGAGAAGCAGAATCAAGAATCCACCCTTGGCCCACCACATCTGGAAATTGCCAACAAAATGTTCATTCATTGGTTACAAACCAGAAAAATGTAAACCGATTGTTGCAGAACTTTGGCCCTCTAAGAACAATATCGGACTGCAGAAGCTACGCATAGAGAGAGCAGAGTGGTACCAAAACCTAACACAGGAGTAACAATGGCTTGCACAATATGTACTACAGAACTGAGTGATGCCGGAACCATCACAGGCCAATATTCTTTAGTGATGTCTGAAGTTTCCTATATCATACTCCTTGATTTTATCCAGAAATTTTTTACTATGCCTAATCCTAGAACTTATCACTGCATCCTGGTATCATTAGGCACTTAATGGAATCCAAAAGATATAGGAATACAACAGATGTTAATTGATAACAATTGTGAACTTTTCACATAACATAATGGATTTCCCATACATATAGCTAAAAGCTTAATACTAGCAGGTCAAATATCAATGTTTTCTTGAGGGATGATACCAATTCTTGGAAAGCGACTTTTAAGAAGAATCAAGTTCGATAAGCAAGCCTGAATAAGATTTAGATAAGGATCTTACACTTAGTAGCATCATCCTCATTCATCCCCAAAAAGAGAGCCGTGTCTTGGATGCTTATAGTTGAATACGCAGACAACAACAACTGAAACATCCTTTTGCTATAGACCTCTGCCAATGATAGTAAATACCAACATTAGCATACAACATTAAAAAGGAGGAAAACAGGACGATTTTGGTAATCATAAGCATCAACATGCATCCCCCCGATCAAGAACTCAAATTCCAAATGTTTATGCACTTTCTTCATACAATTTCGAAAGGCATAGCGACAAAACGCTGGAACAGGGTAACAATGTCTCTATACTTGTGATCAAAGTAGTTTGATTTCATAAAGGAACAGAAAAGGGACATACAACAAAAACAAGAAATTGCTCAGTGCTGAGAGCATTCTAGATGTTCTCCAGGATTTATGTATCCATGTCTCTATACTAGTCAGATGGTCAGGCCTGTACCCCGTTTTAACAGGGGAAATGGAAAGGTCATGCAGACAGGAGACCATGAAAGTTTATAACAAGGAAAAGGAAATCTAAAATGAACTAAAATGCGATCGAATGGACAGTGATGTCTACCTGCAAATGCAGCAACGAGAGGGCGAGTCTGTTCGCCCCAATCAAAACCACGAACAGCCTTGTGCACACCAGAATAATCACGCGTCCACAATTTCTGACCAATGTTCCAAGCAGCAACAACTTCTTGCTGGCCCTCCTTGATCTTCGGAGGAATTGATTTCCAGAGAAAACGAGCACTGTTACTGCAAAACCCAATACGAACCTAGTAAATACCAATGCATCTTGCACAATTCCAAGGTGAGGATAACATCAAAGGGACAAAAACAAGGGTTTCTGGCATCAACCCTCAGGCACAAAATCTGTCTAGGAAGTAAAAACAGCGAAGGCGAAGGGATTCTTACACATCATTAACGTAAATATGACCTAGAAGATGAACCGCGTAGGGCCACTCGTCTTGAAAGGGAACCCCCTCAGCTGCAGCCTGTTGATCGAGACCAGGCACAAAAAAAAATACCAAACGAGAAGGACAGACTTAGGGATTTGGCGAGAAACAATCAATTTAAGAGCTAAGGATTAGAGAGAAGATGACGAAAGGTTTACCTTGAGCATGAGTTCATCGCAGATATCAGCAACCTTTTCGAACGATTTGGCGGCCATGGCGTTGCTGAGAGGAGTGAAATCCATGGCTGCGTTCTCCTTCTCCGGCTGAAGCTTCGCTTCCTGCGTGAAAATCTTCGTGCAGCTTTGGTCCGTCGAGTACGACACTGTGGGAGTCTTTAAAAATTCTTTTGCTGGACGGACGACTGTTAAAAAGCCCAAGAATAAACACTTAAATAACACTCAATAAAAAAACGACGTCGCTGCAATGTGGTTCAACCTCGTCTGGGTACCCAAACGGGCCAAAACCTAATAGCCGAACTCTCACCCGGAATCCAATACAAATTAGGGTGGGCAATGGGTGACTTGGCTATAGGGATGTCAATCCAACCTGTAATCATGAGGATCCTACCCGATCGTAACCGGTCAATGTGTGTAATTATCCGTTTTGACGGGTTAAGGGGCAGGTACGGGTAATACTCGGTTTCAAAATAAAGGGTAGGGTACGAGTATGGTAATCGATAACACCCGCTCTCCTAACCAAATGGTCAATTTCCCTATCCCTAACCCTACCAAGCAACCCCGCACCCACTACCCAGAAGACAATCGTCTTCACTTTCTCCCATTTCCCCAACTATTAACCCTAAAATCTCAATCCCCAATCTGCTTCCCTCTCATTCGCGCGTCGTTCCCCTGAATCTCTCGTTCGCGCGTCGTTCCCCTTCTTCCCTCTCGGTCGCGCGCGACTCGCCACTCGCCAGGATCTCCCCCGGTTCCAGCTAGCATCTCCACGCACGACCTGCTCTCCCCTGTTCCCCTTGTTCGCGACCCGCAGTTGCCGCCAAGCAACTTCCCGAATACCCGTGGTTACCCGGTGGGTAGACTATGGTTATATCATTTTCATACCCGGTGGTTATTTGATAGGGTATTTTAGGAGGCTCTACCCGGCAGGTTAGGAGTTGGTGTAGGATAAACCCGCATCCGACCCTACCCATCGCCACCCCTACTTGAGTGACTTGTGGAATTAAAGTGAACGAGTTGGTATAATCATGAAATCTAATCCACTCACACATTACTTCGGGTTGGGTTAAGTGAGTGGTAGAAGGGCAGGGTTGGCTTTAGAGTTAACCCACAAACTCAATTCTTCAACTAATAGATCATGATTCAACCGTGATTTAACAGTTTAATAAGTTAAATACTGACTACTAATTTAGCATCCAATAGAAGATTTTATCGGTCGGACCGCCAATTACGATTTTACAGTTGAACACAAAATCTGATTCCCCTGAAATGGAAATCCTCCCATTCCCTCAAGTAGTAAAGATAGAAATAGCAATAACAATGCATCGCTTGCATACATACATACATTAAGCTCCAACGAAGCCAAGATAAATAGATAATGAAAGAAAGAACTGTGATCCATTAGAATGTCATTCTTTCGCTTTACACACTCGTCACGTTGCTCATAACCTTGTTTCTTTTCCTTGTTCATCGGGCGATAAACTTCTGTTGTCTCCAGTATGCTCTATTGTTCTATCCCTATGGCAGTTGGAACCATGCAATCTACTAGACGAACAGTTCAGGGAAAGACCCCATAACCAACATGGCAAAGTTGTCCGATTCCAGGAACTCCACGTGAGCAGTTCGCCCGATGATGGAGTTGAAGTTGTTTCTGTTGGAGGATGGGATGTAGAAGTTGACATCGCAGCGCATGAAGATTCGTTGATTAGAAGAACAAGGAGCTTGTAGCTGGCACAAGCAATGGTTGAGCATTTCCCAGAAGACTCTGCCCTTCTTCGAGTAGTCTAAAAGTGCTGCTGGGCATGCCTCGATTCTGGCCGAGTGGTATGGTATGTAGCCGTCCTGTGGCGAGGAAACGAGGATCACGTTCTTGAAGTTCTCAAGGGTCTTGTGCTGCAAATATGTAACAATAGCGTAACTCTTTTATCATGTCATGGTCTTGCTGATCAAGAGCTTTGCAGGAAACAGAGAGTACTGCTAGTTTCGTACCTTAGAAAGTTTGTATAAGAAAGTCTTCCTAAGATTCGGATCATCTGAGAAGGTAAGCTGGCGAATGCATTGAGTGCCCTTAAACTTTTTCAAGAACCAGAGACCAGAGTTGAATAGCATGTTCGAACTGTACATGTACCCCAAGTGTGGGCCAGATACAGAAAGGTATGTGTGCAAGTATCTCAAATACGGCTCCATAATGCTCTCTACCAAAAGAATAGACCCAGTAAGAATTCTAACGCTATTTCAAGACAAGTAAAGAGAGAATTGAAGTAACTAATCACATAAAGGTACCTGATAATGCTGCTCTTATGATGATATTTCCCATGGAATGCCCAACAAAACTCAGCTTTACTTCTGTTACATTCCCACTTCTTGAGGATCTCTCGATTTTCTTTTCCATGAAAGATGTTACTTCCTCAGCTAACCTTAAACCCATATCCCTAAAGTCCCCTTCTGTTTTATCTTCGTTTGCCTCTGACATAAGAACCTCCACTTTGGGATCTATCAAAAGCCATTGATTGCGAACAAGTCTCAAATCTAGGCTTTGTCCCTATATAATCAGAGTATATGCAGTTAGTTCAGGTTTCCTAATCCTGAAACCAGTGAAATACTATACTCAAAAAAAGAGTATTGCGTGATACTTCAGAAGATGATTCATTTCGATGTGAATAATATGAAGAAATACGAAACATATTTTGTTCCATTTGCAACCAGGGAACAAAGGGGCATACCTGAAACCCGTGCACAAACACAACCACCTTCAAAATTTTTGAAGGTTCGGTAGATGAATTATCCATTTGCATTGATGTGTTTGGTTTATTCTTCAAATATGAATGTCCTCCAGTTTTATGTGAAGGGGAATTCACAAAATGGTCTATCGTGATAATAGGAATGTGTGATGGGTCTCTGTATATATGCATATCTTGGAGTGATCGGTTGTTTATCTACAAGAAAATAGTAGCGGTTAGTTCCAACTATAAATATGACAATGTCAACCATGATGAAATAGTCTATTGTCTAAATATATATCATTTCAAACCTTCATTTGTGCAATGCTTTGACGGTGAAGGCCAGCCCGTGCACTTGAAGTCCGCACAGGCTGTGTAGCGCATGAAAGAAATTTTAAATGTAAGAACGAAATGCTTGGAAGATGCATATGTTAGTAAGAAATGTAAATTTCATGCAATAAATGCGGATTAAACTATAATTACATCATTTAGGAACTTCCTTAGAGTTGAAGAAGCCTTTTCAAGGAGGCCATTAGCAAACGACCTGTCTACTTTTGAGTATACTATCCATATTGACCATTCAGCTCTTCTATTATCACCCCAAGTATGATGAAGAGAATCTAGTATTTTTTTCCCATTAGCCCTGCAACATAACAAAAGAAGGAATGATCCCTAAAGTTTAAGATGCTAAACTACACATGTTACATGAGAAAGAACATAAGGAAAACATTATGCCGGACTGTCCAAATGTCAATAACCTGTTCTTTTATATAATGGTGACTGTTGGTCCTAAGTTTTAAACCTAAGTGTGGTGGATGTTATTATCTTCATATACCCCTAGGCCAACCTCTTGAGATTCCTAATGTCAATAACCATTGCATAACGTAGAAATAGCTGGATAAAGTAATTCAACACTAACCATACCTGTGAAATGCAAAGAATGTATTCCATAGAAAAAAAATTTGGTCTCTCAGTAATTGCAGGGAACTTGATAGATCAACCTAAACGTGCCAGAATACCATCTTATTAAAATGCATAGGAAAACTCAACTAAATCTTGACTACAATGATCTCAATGACATATATTTATAAGAAGTAACAGGTGAAGGAGTACCTCAAAAGTATCTTCTGGTTCGGGCAAGACCTGAGAAACCTTGTTGCCATGGACTGGATTAAATTGCACGAGGGAGGACAGTTGTTTGTCATCTAGATCAGGAAAAAACTCAGTCAAGTCAAGTGCTTGATCAATTTCTTTGCTGATTTTTCGAAGATCTCCGAGAAGTATATCACGAGTAACCATTAATGCTTTAATGAGCATGGCATGCTTGTGACCATCGGAGATCACTAGATCTAGTGCCTGGTAGGCAAATAAGAGTTGTTAGAATGGATAGATGATATAAGTTAACATTTCAAAAGGGTTCTCAAAATCAAAATGGACAATATGAATAACATCTTTCTAGAATCAAATTGACAAAAAAAAAAAAAAAAAACTATAAGGAAAATATTTTCTAGAATCTAATGGAACACAATGCATTTAAATAAAATGATATCATCAATTACAGCACGTCTGAAGGGAAACGATCATTTGCAGTAAAGTATTTCCTCATTTTGTGAAACTAAAGGCATTGAACTTGGAAGTTACCTTGGATGAACGTTTAGATGAAGCTTCCAACATGGTAATATGTATGCTAGTATCGACGAGAACAGGATAAAAGGAATCAAACTGTACAGGGCAATAAGTATGCAATCCTAACAGAGCTTTTGAAGGAATTCGAAATTCATGAACTGCAACTGGATCAAGGTCCGTTGGAAATTGCAGAGAAGACCTGCAAAAAGAGCATTATATCAAGTACGAAAGACAACATATATAACTCAAGTAATCACTACGAATGCTTAATTTTATATATAAAAATGAAAACTAGAAGTGCAGAAGGATTAGTATCATGAAACTAACCCATTCTCTGCATCGAAGGTAGACAAAAGCTCAAACCTCAGAATCACACCAGATGAAGGAGGAGCCTAGAAAAACAATGGTGCTATATAATGTCAATAATATAGACCCAGATTAAGTTCGAACACCAAGGTCTTCAATTTTCTAGTTCAAAAGATATTTATACTATTACAGTCCATGACTCTACATTTTCAACCTGTCAAATGAATTACTAAAACAACACAGGTTTAATACTAGCTGCACTTTTAACTAATTTATCTTTCATCAAATTTTCTCTCTTGCCCTGCCTTCTCTTTTGATTTGACTTGTCATTTCTGAAAGAGCTTCAAGGATGAAAGACAATACCTCAAACGAACTGAGGGATAGAATGAAGGAGACCATGATAGATAAATATACATCTTGTCTCGCATATTTGATACAAAAAGGCTGTGTTGCGAAGCTGTTCTCCGTGTCATCAATCTGCCACACTCCATATGCAGATCTGCTACCATTTTCAGCTGCTACAGATATAACAACAAATGAACTTGTTTCAATTGATAGAAAGCTGTATAGCACATTAAGATGTAAGCTAGGGAGAACACGAATTTGAGTGGAACACAAACAATTTGAAACACACATGTAACAGTAAGACACCTTCATATTGGATCACTCGAGAAGGAGTTGTAAGCAAAGTGCACCCATTTCCATCCGGGGTCATGGATATCCTAATTTGATACCATCTGCAAAGCTTATCAGTGGCAAACCATCAACACACATAAACTACATAAATATGGCCAAAAGAGAAAGAAAATGAAAACCGGGAAGAAAAAAAAAAACATCAAGTTACCCTTGTCTAAAGAGGTCGAGATTGTGAAATCTGTGAATATAGATGGCAACTTCATGTATAGTCTCATACGTCGACTTCTTGACCCTTGCCGGTGCCGGCCCGCCTGAACAGTTCATGGTCTTGATTGAACACCTCTCCGCTACCTCATTTCGACGGCGACCCATCAACAATTCCTCTTCTCCCGAATGATGAATGCCTTGAAAAAACCTTCACGGCAGAGCAAAACGTCGAGGACCCATTTCTTGCGTCGACAAGGTAATGCAACAATTTGCCGGGCGGCGAGGGAAGTGGGAGAAGTGAGGAGATTCTTCCTGTACGCGTGATCGACTGACTGATGACAGCTCCTGGGGAGGCTGCTAATGTCAATCGATCAAATTTTAAGAAATTCAAGATGCAACCCTCATCAAAACCTCCCCCTCTCCTGTCTCCTCTTTCTCTTCCTTCCCCGTCCCGGCCTTGCAATTCTGATTTTCAAACAATATTTCTTTATTTCAGAGAATGAATGGAGAGAAAACATTTCACATGCCTCCCTCATTCTTTTTACAAAATATTTTCTTGGATCTGGAAGAAAAAAATTATATATTTTTTTCCACATAATAATTATGATATTCATAAGTCAATGAAAACAGCAATAATAACTCTAAAAAAAAAACAGGACTAGTCGTACACTCGTACTCCTGTGGTCCATAGTTACATAATTTCCAAGCCCGTTGACAACTATCCCAAACCAAGCCCATAAGTCCAAAACTGCGGCCCAAATTGTTGGTTTGATGTCATCTACCGTCGGATTTTGAATTTTGATTAGGATGTCTTATCGACAAAACGGGAGAAAGCAACACCACTCGTCACTAAGGATGACAACAAAACCCGAACTCACGGGTACCCATCTGACCTTATTCGGTCAACGTGAGTAAAATTCGTGTTGACGGGTTTTAGGTCGGGTTTGGGTTTAAACCCATTCACTATTCATCGGGTTGGGTTGGGTTTGGGTTTAGGTAAACCTGTCCCATGGGTACCCGCCCATTCCCATATAATTAATTTTCTCGGTATATTTAATATTCTAAACAACTAATCTTATTTATGTTTGTGGATACATGTCTAATTTTTTTTTTCTAATTATGTAGAATAAAGTTGATGTTATCGAGTGGAGAGTGAACAAACTTAATTGAAAGGAAGAAGCTTTCAATTAATCATGTTATTTATGGATAATTTGTGATTTGCTTCAATTTTCTTGAGTTTTCTAGATTGGTGATGAACAATTTGTATAGTTAATTTGTGATTTGCTTGAATTTTCTAGAATGGTGTTTTATATATGGATAATTTGTATTGAGAGATTGATATTTGATTTTAATTTTGATAGGAACTTGTTATTATAATTTTTTTACGACAAAAACCCGTGGGTACCCATGAACCCGCGGATACCCAGCGGGTTGGCTTGAGTTTGAGTTTTTCAAACCCAATAAATTTTATCCGAGGTTTTTTCACGGATAAACCCATAAATGTGGGTTTGGGTTTGACAAAACCGGACCCATCGCCATCCCTACTCGCATTCGCTATCCAACTCCCATTTTCCCATCCACCAGATCATCTTCCAGTTCTTCACCCACATTTTCCCCCTTCCTCCCGTCCGGAGATTTCTCCCCATGGCCGCCGCCGTTCTTGAATCCGTCGTCGTCCCTCGCCCAAGACACTCCTCCTCCTGCCTCCAACCCGCCGCGGCTTCTTCCTTTCTATCTCCGTGCCCCCGATCCCTCCCTCTCCCTGCCGCCAGAGGTCTCAAGCTCGCCTCGCCGGCTCGTTCCTTCCGATCCCTTACCCCTGTCCCTATTCGTCGCTCCTCCATCGTCTGCGAGGCCCAGCAGGACACCGCCACCGAAGGTCTGCCCAGTTCCCGATTCCAAATTTCAATTTTATTTCCCTCTCTCTCGCTCGTTGCCTCGATTACATTGATCTAATTAGGGTTTGCGAATTCGGGTGCAGTTCCGGCAGTTACAGACGGCGACTGGCAGTCTGTGGTCCTCGAGTCGGAAACCCCGGTCCTGGTGGAATTCTGGGCGCCATGGTGCGGCCCGTGCAGGATGATCCACCCCGTCATCGACGAACTGGCCAAGCAGTACGCAGGGAAGCTGAAATGCTACAAGCTCAACACCGACGAGAGCCCGTCGGTCGCGACGCAGTACGGCATCCGGAGCATCCCGACCGTGATGATCTTCAAGGACGGGGATAAGAAAGATGCTGTGATTGGTGCTGTTCCCAAGTCCACCCTCACCAGCTCCATAGAGAAGTTCTTGTAAAAAGAGAGGTTCCCCGGTAAGTGTTGGGGAGTGGAAATGACAGTAAATCTGCTACTAGTAGTTAGCTATTTTGTGGGTATTAAGTTTACAAGAACGTTGTTTATGAATCAGCCTGCAATAAAGGTCCTTGCTTGCCCTTGTATAGCATGCCTCTCTGTATGATCCTGTTGCCCTTATTAGATAATATGTTTAACTTCCCACCATTACTGTTATTACCTACTAGAATCACACTCTGTTCTTCTGTAGATCGTTGGTGAGTGTTATGAATGTGAATGAAGCTTCTCCATTGCTCATGTTGTATATCTTGTTGGTTGGTTAGGTCAGTTTCCTACTAGCATAGTCTATTGGGTAAGAGTAGTGGTGTTGTATCCCTTTCTTGTTCCTTAGATTTTTAGGGTTTGGCCTCTCCTCTCCCAGCAATATCTTGGCGCCTAATTGCCTCTACGCACAGCCAAAATACCCAACATCCTTTCACAGGCTCTTGTTGATCCTGGGAGAGGATCCAAGCAGTGCAAGTAGAGAGTGATGCCCTTAGTTGCCAATAATACAATGGCAAGTGCATTATAAGATCATGCAACTGGATCTTTCGGTTCGAATGCTGGCTCGACAGGAGATGATTCGGAGATTGATTAGTGACCAAAGGATTCCACATTTCAGGTGTTGTTGTTACTGACATGGATGGAGATAGTCGAGTGATTTAGGCGCGAGGATGGGAATACTGATTGATGATTGATACTCCAATGCAAAGTTCATTTAGCAATAACCTAGCAATCATGCTTAAGATGGGGAAGAAAAGGAGATCAAAGCCAATTTGCCAAGTCGAAAGCGAGTAATACAAACCAATTGCTTCAAAACTAAACAACGGAAGGTTCCATGAGCTGTTCATCTTTTTTAGCATTTGGATTGGTGCCGTTCTTTTAACCACTTCCTTCCTCGTTACATAGACTCGACTGAGGGTGCATGTCGAACAATAATATCATTTTCTTTCGTTCGAAATTTCAACTTTATCCTTATTAACTTTGGATTACTTGATGATGGGCTTCTTTTAGATGGGACAAAGAGAAAGAGAAACTGTTGCCTCTAGGGCCTTGGCCCGTTGTTTCGTTGCAGCTCTGGGCCTGTATTGGAGGTCCATATAACTTAATATTTTTTTCGATATTCGGCTTTTCCCCATTTTCAAAGAATCGAAATTCTAAAATCCTCGAAGTTTCGAACCGAAACGGGACCCACATGAACACGCGCGTCTTATTCATGCCAGGTGCCTCAGGCCGTCGAGCACGGCACAAATGGCGTTTCCCCTCTTCCTTCCTTCTCTCTTCTCCTCCTTCCCCACTTCCACCACCGCCGCCATCTCCGCCGTGCCGCTGCGTCTAACCACCTCCTACAGCTCGCGTCGTATCTAATTCATCAAACCTTAAATTCCCTCCCAGCTCCAATCCCAACAAAAAAGCCCGTCTCACGTGATTCTTCTTGGTTTCCGCCCACGCGGCGCGCCTCTTCCAATCGATTCAATTTTTCCGCGGCGGCGTTTGGGCTCACACATGCATGATTTTCAAATTCTGGAAGAGCGATGGATGAGGAGAAGCAGGGGATCGGCGTATCGGCGGTGAGGGCGATGAGGCTATCTTCGCGGTCGCCGGCCCTCGTTTTGACCGCCGCCCTGGCTGCGCTTCTCTGCTTCCAAATCGCGACGAGAACCGTCTACCCGATTTGGGCGGACCGGGCCCGGGAATCCTTCGAATCGGATTTCCCGCCGGACGCCGGAAGCTGTTCTGGGTTCTACGGGAGGATCCCGGCGAGGAAGGCGGTGATGTCGATTACGGATTTCGGAGGGGTCGGTGATGGGGAAACGTCCAATACGGAAGCGTTTCGGAAAGCTGTTCGGCACATGCAGCGGTTCGGGCTGGACGGCGGATCGCAGCTGAATGTGCCGGAAGGGAAGTGGCTCACCGGCAGCTTCAATCTGACCAGTAATTTCACATTGTTTCTTGAAGAAGGCGCTGTGATTCTGGGTTCTCAGGTAAACCCCAAACTCTATTTTTTTTTTTTGGTCTGTATGCTATCGAATTTGGACGGTCAGCTTTTTGTCGTCTTTTGCCCTTTATTATAAAAACATCTTTCCGGTAAGATCTTGGGCACTTATGGATCAAAGTGTTGTCCGTTTCTTACTTTTTCCTTCACGGGGGAAAGCAGAGCGATTAGGGTATGAATGATGACAAAAGGGAAGTGGAGTTTTGGAGCTTTTTTGTTGGCCACCGAAGGGAAAGGCTCTGGCTGGGAGAGGAAGATTCGAGCTTGTGGTGGATGGTTCCTTCCTACTAATGCGGCTCGTGATAGACTAAAGGCCATGTGAGATTTGGAAGTTGGGTTTTGTCAACAATCAACATGACCAGATTCACGAGCCGGCTATGGTGGCTACTACTGCAGAATAACTCTGTTCACATGGCTTTGCAGTTTAGTGCTCTAGACGTGGCAAAAGGGTGTTTGTTGTGCTGAGTTTTTTGTCTGTAGCTTCAGTGGTATGGTGGTCAATGCCAACGATTTGATTGCCTTTCTCTCTTGCTTTGCAAATGTTTTTTTAAGAACTTTGTCCCAAAGAATCTGCAAAAATGAGATGACTTGTATCCAAAGAATCTGCAGAATGAGATGACTTGTATCCAAAGGTTGCTACTGGTAGCAGAATGTTTACCTTTTTATAGTAGTAGTCTTTTAACATTTGTTTGGTGTATTTCAGGATCCTAAGGAATGGCCTATAATAGAGCCATTGCCTTCGTATGGAAGAGGGAGAGAGAGATTGGGAGGGAGACATATTAGCCTTATTCATGGAGATGGTCTCTCTGATGTCGTTATTACAGGTACTTGACGAAGTTCTCTTATTATATTCTTTGCTTATTTTCTGCTTTAGGCGCCATCAGGTTGAAGGGCATATGGTATTTTGTCTATGAAACAGGCTCTTCTATCCTGTAGTGAGATTTGGCTAATATCCTCTGTTTCATTTTCTGAAAATATTTCAAGACTATATAAGAGCGCTATGATTTCTGTATCAAATTAGGTCATAAGACTGCCTTTGTTAATTCTGTACTAAATAGTGTGTGGTCTGCAGAACTAAACTGCTTTACATTGTCAAGATATAACCGGGAGTGTTATTGTTGATTTGAGTCATGAAATCAATTTCAAAATGCATCTTTCTGGCACAGAAGACACAGGGGGTGGGTTGAGGAATGGATTATTCATTGTTCTTCCCTCAGTACTGAGTAAGCAGTATCCTTTACCTGTTTCAGGACAAAATGGAACAGTTGATGGCCAGGGGAAGATGTGGTGGGACTTATGGTGGAACAGAACGTTGGAGCACACGAGAGGACACCTTGTGGAACTAATGAACTCGCGCAACATTCTCATCTCCAACCTCACCTTCCGCAACTCTCCATTTTGGACTGTACATCCAATTTACTGCAGGTGTGTTTTCCACCCCATCTTTTTATCTTTTATGTATGTTCTACTTGTTCTATATAATTGATAAATCGTCGTATTATCAGTTGGTTACTACAGCTCTTTCACCATACAAGTTTTATTAGTAATTTGAACTTTGAAGTTGATTACTGATACTAGCCCTATATCTGGTTTAGTAATGTTGTGATCAGAAACATGACAATCTTGGCACCACTTAATGCTCCAAATACCGACGGAATAGATGCAGGTAATGACACTTCTTTTGTTATTGAAATTCACTAACCTTTGGTTTTTCATTTTAAAGCCAAAAGATTAACAAAACTTAATTGATCAAAATGCTTTGGCCTTTGATTTTTCCTTTTGAAGACTCCAGCACGAATGTCTGTATCGAGGATTGCTACATCGAGAGTGGGGATGATCTCGTTGCAGTGAAGAGCGGGTGGGACCAATATGGTATCAAGATGGCCCGCCCGAGCTCCAACATTATAGTAAGAAGAGTCTCCGGCACAACTCCCACTTGTTCGGGCATCGGAATAGGGAGCGAAATGTCCGGGGGCATTTCCAACGTCACGATCGAGGACTTGCATGTCTGGAACTCGGCAGCGGGCGTGAGGATGAAAACAGACGTTGGCAGGGGAGGGTACATCACCAATATAACCATAAGAAACGTGATCATGGAGAGGGTGAAGGTACCGATAAAGTTCAGCAAGGGATCAAACGACCATCCTGATGAAGGATGGGACCGGACTGCAATTCCAATCGTCAAGGGAGTCAGAATCATCGACGTGGTCAGTCTGAATTCCACCAAAGCCCCACAGTTGCTGGGCATTGAAAATGCACCATTTTCTGAGATATGCCTAAGGAATGTAACCTTGCTAGGGCTGAAGGAGTCATCATCGTCTGCTGGTTCGTGGCATTGTGAATTCGTCTCCGGTTCTGCTCAGGACGTGTTTCCATTGCCCTGTTCCGAGTTGCTGCAGAAAGATGCCTCTTGGTGCTCGTAGTTCGGGTTTTACAGCTTTGGTTTTGCTTGGTTCTTTTTTCTGTTTGGTTTCTGAGTTTGATAGATGCACATGAAGGATGAGTAGGCACATTTCGACACATGATTGATTGCAGGATTGTTAGAGTTTTAGATAACACTAGACCAAAGGTATAGTCGAGAGTTACAGATATGCCTGAGATGTATAGCGATTTACAAATTACAGGCAGTCTTGTTGTTACTGATTTAGATTGTAGTTTATGAAATTGATACGAAATTATTTCATTTCTGAGATCGACAGAAGATTGCAAATTGTTATAAATAAGTAATTATATTATTCTAAAGTTGGATGAATAAGTCGTCTAAGGTGTGTCATTTCACACAAAATTAGACGGATACTTTATAACGAAGATTTTGAGTGTTAATTCACTACAAAAGGTGATTGACAAGTTCCAGTTTAACAATTACTTGAAATTAATTGAATAAGATAAAACGAGAACAGTAGCAGTTACTAGCAAGTGGCGAGTCTCAAGTCTCACAATTTGTCCGCCAAAACCCTTGCTAAACCCTTTCGCCCCATATCTCCTTTCTCAGGAATCAGGATCCCAGATTCCCAAGACATCTAGCCGCTTCAATATATCAGCATGGCGGCACCAACGCATTTCTTCAAGACAGTTCTCAACGCAATCCAGATCCTCGCTGCAAATCCCGCTTCGAAGAGGAAGTACTCCGCCGGAGCGGCGAGAGCAGCAAGCAGCGATCTTTTCACGAGAATCAGCCCAATCGGAGATCCAGAAACCAGGTTAGCTCCGGTTCTTGATCAATGGGTCGAAGAAGGCAGGAAATTCAGAGATTCCGAGCTTCAGAGAATCGCCAGGAAGCTCCGTTCCTGGAGACGACACGGCCAGGCCCTTGAGGTTAGTGGACTGGTTCATTCATTCATTCACACTATCCCAGTTAATTAGTTCTTGTTTTAGGTTAGAAGTTGGGGATGTTGAATGGTAGCTGCCAAAAAGCTTCAATTTTTTTACTTCATTCCAGGAGTGTTGTTGATTGTTTTTGTTCATATTTCTGCAAATTTTGAAGGTGTTGGAGTGGATGGTAGGAAGAGGGGTTGCCCCACTGTCGCAGTCTGATCATGCGGTTCACTTGGACCTCATTGGTAAGGTTAGGGGATTTGAATTTGCAGAGGGTTACTTCACCAGCTTGGACGAGACTGAAAAAACCCAGAAAATGTATGGAGCTCTTCTAAACTGTTACATTAGACAAGGCCAGGTCACAAAGTCCCTCTCTCTTTGGGAAAAGATGCAGGAACTGGGTTTTGATATTTCTACGCTTAACTACAATGAAATCATGACCCTCTACCTGAAAACTGGCCTTCCGGAGAAGGTCACCGGTTTACTAACCGAGATGAAGGATAAGGGAATCTCCCCCGACTGTGTAAGTTACCGAATTTGCATGACTGCTTATGCTGCAATGTCTCAGCTTGATAAGGTCCAACAGATGTTGCAAGAAATGGAGGAGGAACAACAGCAACCTCTTATTTCAATTGACTGGCTGACCTATTCAACTGTGGCTGGTATCTACATAAAAGCAGGGTTACAAGAGGCATCGCTCGAGTGCTTGAGGAAATGTGAAGAGAGAGTGAAGAAGAATGCAGATGGGTTCAACCATTTGATTTCGCACCATGCCAATCTAGGGAATAAAGATGAGGTGTTGAGGCTGTGGGGCGTTGCTAAAGCCAAGTTCAGCAAACGGCAAAATAGGGACTACTTGAACATGATGGGCTCTTTGGTTAAATTAGGGGAGCTTGAAGAAGCTGAAATTTTGCTGGAGGAATGGGATTCGGCTTGTGAATTCTATGATGCTCGGGTTCCGAATGCACTCTTGATCGGATGTTGCCAGAAGGGGTTGGTCGAGAAGGCTGAGCTGTTGCTGAGGGACAGGATATGCCGGGGTAAGGCTGCAATCCCCAACAGTTGGGCCATTATTGCTGCTGGGTATGTGGAGAAGGAAGGGAACATGGAGAAAGGTTTTGAGGCCATGAGAGAAGCTCTAGCTATTCGAACGAATAACATTTGGTGGAGACCGAAACCTGTACTGATGTCGAGGATGTTGAGGTGGGCAGGCGAGAATATAGGCGCGGAAGAAGTGGAATCGTTTGTGGGAAGCGTGTTGCAGACCAAGGTTCCGAAGGACAGGGAGTTTTATAACACACTGCTCCATGTTTATGTGAGGAATGGGAAAGAAGTGGGGTGGATTCTAGATGGGATGAAGGCTGATGGAATTGATGGAGATGAGGCCACTGGTGAAATCCTTAGCTCAGTAAAGCAGTGATTTGAATGATGTGGTAGCCATGACAGGATTTACTATCGTCAACTAAGGTGCTGATTCATTCCTTAAGATATGATATATTGACTATGCAGCCAGTGCCTGCAATCCTCTGGCAAACTGCACACTCAAGAACAGGGCAGGTTTCTGCATTTTAACATGGTTTCTGTACAATCAATCACTATCCAAATTCATTTTTCACTCAAATTATGCACATTAGCTTGCCAGATTACCCAACATAGTAAGGTTAGGATGTGCACATCAACCCTCATCTCAGCTAACAGTTTTATATTCATTTGGAGTACTGATTTGTTTTTAGTTGGACTAAAAAAATAAATGAAGGATGACGATATGGATCACATCAAATAATGGCAATCAACGAAGAACAATTAAGTAATAAACAAAATCGTTTGGCAATCTGCTTAATATTAATATAACTAATCCAAGCGAGGGTAGAGCTTATAATAATGCATAGTAGTGAGGGTGGGTGTTTTCGAATTCGTCATGCACGTCATTAATCAACTGGTATCAATAATTCGAATTATTGAGAGAATATTTCCGACATTCCACTTAATAAAAATTTTGAAAATGTAAATTGTACATACTTTATGAATTAAGACAGACATTTAACTTCTTTGTTTAATAAAATTTTGTTTCTTAATTTATATGTTTGTTAGATTATACATATCATAATGTATAATAGTTTAAGATTTTTTAGTACGTGATCAAATATGTCACATTTATAATTTGAATGAGAAATTATCTATTATAGAATGCCTACTTACTAGTTATTAAATAACATTATCTTAAATTCTTAATTGATGCAATTGAACCACATCAAGTCACATGGCTACAGTAGTGTAAATGCACAGGGAAAACAGAGTACTTTCATAATAATATAAGTAAACCAAGCGATGTGTGTTAGTAGGGGGAAAACAGAGTACTTTCATAATTTCCATGGAGTATCTTCGTCAAAAGATGATCCCTTGCTCATCCTCCTTCGAAGCATTCAAAATCCCCTGCATCTTCACACTTGCAACCATCCTGATAGTCACCTTATCAATCATCCGAAAGCAGAAACTATCCAAAACCGCCGCTCTAAACTTGCCGCCGGGCCCATGGAAGCTTCCCATCATAGGAAACATCCACCAGATGGTCGGCGACCAACCTCACCGGCGACTCAGGGATCTGGCCGCCAAATATGGTCCCGATGTGATGCAGCTTCAGCTTGGGGAGCTAAATTACATCATAATCTCAACTCCTGAAGCAGCCAAACTAGTGATGACGACCCACGACATAGCTTTCGCTTCCAGGCCTAATTTCCTGGCCCCGGATATAATGTTCTATGGTTGCAAGGGCATGGCTTTCGCGCCCTACGGCGAGTACTGGAGACAGATGCGCAAGCTCAGCACACGGGAGCTCTTCAGCGCCAAAAGGGTTCAATCTTTCCGCCACATAAGGGAAGAAGAGGTGTCCAATCTCGTGGCTTCTCTGACTCGTTCTGCAGATGCAGGGGAGCCTGTGAATCTGACTCATATGCTGTTTAAGCTAACGAGTACCATAACTTCCAGGGCCGTGCTTGGTAAAGTACAGGAGCTAAACGATGCTTTTCAAGTTGTGGTCGATGATCTTGCAGAAGCTCTTGTTGGTTTCAGAGTTTCTGATCTTTATCCTTCCTTCAAATTACTCCCCATCCTCACTGGGTACAGAGCAAAACTATGTAAGATGCAGAAAGCAACAGATTCGGTTATGGACCAAATTATCAGTGAACATCAATCAAGAAGAAGGGCAGGAAGGAAAGATGATGACGAAAAAGAGGATCTTGTCGATGTCCTTTTGAATCTTTCAGAAAAGCAAGACCTTGACATACCCATTACAATGGAAGTCATAAAAGCAGTGACTTTGGTAAGTAAATATGCTGATTCTACTCCCTATTGGATAAGTTTGCTTCCATATATGCAAATTCATCACTTTTACTACCTATAAAAGTTTGGTTTTGTTCTTATTACACCAGGAAATATTTTTAGCTGGTATTGAGACAACATCAACGATAATAGAATGGACCATGTCTGAACTTATAAACGATCCAAGAGTGTTTCAAAAGGCTCAAGAAGAGGTCAGGCAGATGTTAGGTGAGGGCATAAAAAATATAGACGAAGCAAGTCTTCACCAACTAACGTATGCAGACATGGTTATTTCTGAAGTTCTAAGGTTACATCCTCCTCTTCCTTTACTTCTTCCTAGAGAAAATGGAGAGAAGGTGGAACTCAATGGATATGATGTCCCAATCAACACCAGAGTCATTGTAAATGCCTGGGCGATCAATCGGGATCCCCGTCATTGGGTCGAGCCGGAGAAATTCTACCCTGAGAGATTCCTGGATTGCTCAACTGACTATAGTGGGAACTATTTCCAGTTCATTCCATTTGGTGCCGGAAGAAGGATATGCCCCGGAATTTCTTTTGGAATGACGATGGTTAAACTGGCTATGGCAAATTTGCTCTATCACTTTCAATGGGAACTTTCATCCGAAATGAAACAAAAAGGCATTGATTTGACTGAAAGTCTTAGAACGTCACACAGAAGGGAAACTGCTCCTCGTTTGGATTTGATTCCAGTTTTGTATGATGGCGCGACTTGAATAGAAGGGGAACAAATGGCAAGATGTATAAATAAGTGAAGATTCTCGTTATGAGATATTCTATCTTCCTTTTTCCCCCTTGTTGCTTCTGATTCTTTCACTTCTATCAAAATCACTTAGCAAGTAGCAATTTTTAATACAAGACGAGGTAAGAGTGGTTGAATGGAAAAGAGTGAGAGAAAACGCTAAAGAGCGTGTGGAAAAAGAAGGTAGACAATAATAAATGACATCACATGAAATTCAACCTCAAGAGCAATACCTACCACTTATCAAAGTAATACGTCCTTGTTCAAATGGAATCTAAATAATGTGTGTATTGTGTTATGAGCTAGAAAACAGTACCAAAGACACCGATCTTAATGAGTCGGCAAACTGTACTAGAGCTACCGACTCTATATTAATCCACCTTCTTTTTATGTTCATTTTGTAAGTTTTGGAAGGGAGTCTTTACAGAGAAAAAGAGTGAGAACGAGTGGAGAGTGTCTTGTAAATTGTAATAGTCCCCTTTGTTGTAATCATATTTCTATAAACTTTCTACTGTTCATTTGGTTCTTTCTAGGTTTGGACTTTGGTTACGATCGGTTAGAGGATACTTGACATCTTATATTATATTAAATTGGATGACACGACATAATCTTATATTATATTAAATTGGATGACACGACATGATTATGTAGCTAATGTGGATGAAAAACATAGACGGATACTAATGAAATTACCAGAAATATATGTTAAAGAAAGCACAATTGATTAGTTTGTTAAAATTTTAACTTCAGTGACCAATTTGTTAATGACTCCAAATGTAAATGGCCATTTCTGCAATTGACGACGGGCCAATCTTAGGGAAGCTGGGCCTGGGCTGTATCATTGATGGGTGGGCTTTATGCCAACAGCCCATTGGGTATTTTATTCAAATGCCAATCCAGCAGCGAAGACTTGGATCCCTTCCCTGCAAAGCGTAAATCTCTTCACTGCTGCTGGCCGGGGTGCAGCGGAAATGGGCCGACACCGGGACGGTTCTGTCTCCGAGAGAGACGAGCTGGAAGAAGATCGTAAATCCAGAAGCAGAGCTCGGGGAATTGACGACGCAGATTCTCCGGATGACGATGACCGGAAGAGCGATGGCAAACACAGAAGGAAAAGGTTAGCAGAGGACTCCTCTGATTCGGATTCCGGAGAGGAAGACCGGAAGCGCAGCCGGAAACACAAGCGGAAGCGAGAGTCGCGAAAGCGACGCAGCGACGATTCGGATTCGGAGTATTCCGATAGCGAAGAGTCCGAGTCATCCGAGTCGGGCGCGGAAGCGAGTGAAAGCGAGGAGGAAAGGAAGAGGAGGAAGCGGAGGGAGAAGAGGAAGAGGAAGGAGAGGGAAGAAGAGAAGGAAAGGAAGCGGAGAAGGAAGGAGAAAGAGAAGAAGAAAAGGAAAGAGAAGGAGAAGCGGAAGATAGAGAGGAAGAAGGAGAAATCAGAGATTGGGAAGAGAGGTGCTGTTACTGATTTGTGGGGGAAGTATGGGATCATCAGAGAAACCGATATGTGGTAACTCATTGGTTTACCCTCTCTTCCAAATTTCCAGCTCTTTGTTCCTTGATTTTGAACTTTGGAATTTTTCTTGTTTCTGTTTGGTTGCTGATATATATTTTTTTTTTTGGGTGGATTGGAGTGGTTTCATTAGGGTTTGTGGCTAATTTTAAGTGCTTGCTGATTGGAAAACTTGATTAGATCTTCTACAGTCTTGCTGCTCAGCCTTAGATAGCGCCTTACCATTTGTTTCCATGGACTCGTGGTGGTGCTACCTTATTATCTTAGCTATGAATTGTTGCTATGCTGACATATCGAATTGCAGGTTTTATCTTCACTGTTGTGCTTACTAATCCAATCTCCAATTTGCAGGAACAAACGTCCTGAATTCAGTGCTTGGTTATCTGAAGTGAAACAGGTATTTATTGCACATTTTTAGCTTTCCATCTTTGGCTTATGGGCTATAGCTTTATCTCCTTCTCTCATCTTATAGTTGGAGGAGAAAGAAATGTTGTTTTTTCATTTTTGACACTTGATATACATGGCACCCTGCAATTATCAATGTTTCATGTTGGTTTAGAGACTAGAATCTCGTTTTTGATGCACTAGTCATGATTAGTCAGTTTCTGGTACCTTTCCATCTATTTGTTACTGTTGGAACTTTCTTCAATAAGGATAGTTGATATTTGTGCTTGAGTTTATATGTATCAAGGATGAGTGGTAGATGTTAGTTAGGTTTGGCTTGATGGTTGGTATATTCACGAGCTGATCGGAAATTCAATCTGAAAGTAGCATTCACGTTATAATGATTCAATGACTATGATAAATATTAATTGGATAATGTGGTTTATCTTTTCGTCTATGGTTCTTGTAGGTGAACCTTGAAACCCTGCCGAACTGGGAAGAAAAGCAGATGTTCAAGCAGTAAGATCACAAAGGATGTTTATTTCCTAAAGAGCAAATATGCATCGGACAGCTTTCGGTTCATTTATCATCAAACGAGCTGATATATGACAAAACATGTTTGCAGATTTATGGAGGACCATAATACTGCTACCTTTCCTTCCAAGAAGTAAGACTCTTGCCATGGATGATGCTTGCTTATTTTATCCATTTACTGCAACAAGTAGTTAACTCTTTGGAGTGCATCATCAAGTTTCTTGGTGCATAACCTTATTAGCTTGCAACTCTTTGTGTTCATGGCACTCTGATTCCTCTCTGCTACATGTGAATTTGACTCCTGAGTCCATCAAATTGATAGCATGCCTGTGGGATACACTTTGTTTTTTCTTCAAATGGCCAGTGCACATTTGGAAAAGACACAACTATTTATTTTGTTTAATATCTGTAACTCCCTGCAAATGGAAGGAATTTACTTTCAGTTCAAGGTTTTCACTTGTTATTAGCCAAAAGACGGAGAACAGTTCAATGTTTTCACAGTTCTCCATCTTGTCTGAAAATTGTTCATGCATATTTGTTGGCTTACTGCACATAGCAGTACAAATTATGCACAAATAGATTGAAATCCATAATTGATCCTGCCATACCATAGTGATAAATGTTCTGATTCGTAGGTATTATAATCTCGATGCCTATTACAAGCGTCAAATGTTGAAGGAATTGAAGAGTGGTAAAAAGGTCCAGGAAACTGAACGAACCATATTCAATGATGAAGAACTAAAACGGTATGAATTATCTACTACTTGCAATTGCATAATTGGTTTAGTTTAGCACCTGGTTGGTTCTGAACTACTATGCCTTCTTTTGCTGGCATTGATGCTGGGAAGTACAAAAGTTTCCGTTGCATCCCATCCTGTATCTATTTTTGCGAGCCACATGTTTAATTAGAAATTTAGAATAATAATGTTCTGTAGCTGCAAATGTATTCAGAGTTCAATTAGTTCAATCTTCTGCATGCTCCAACATGCTTGATAGACGAGTCAGTTTGAACTGATAAAGTATGGTGACTGCGTTTAGTCCTACAACTGTCCTCTGTCTCTGCCCGTTCAGGAAACACTGCCCCTTCTTCCCAGGCCCCTTTTCTGCTCTCTTTCTCTCTTATTTTCTTCCTACATTTTGGGTGTATATTTTGTATCAGGCAAGAGCAGATGCGCGAGCGAGAAAAACAGAAGGAGAAAGAGGTGGAAGCGTTAAAGCGATCCATGCAAAGCGGAATGGTAAGCAGCCTTCATTATCAGATTCTTGATTTTGATTCTCTTAACATCCCAATAAAAACCGTGTGACTTGTGTGTACCAACTATGATGAATTATGGTCTTTGATCCTGAACCATTGGTGGGCAGGCGCAAGCAATGAAAGAGCAAGCACTGCTCCGGGAAGAGATGGCATATCTGTACAAGATTGGCAACAACGAGGTGAGCCCATACAAACGTTCCTCTTTGGCAAAATTTGGTGTTCTAGTTAGCCTATCATACTGATCAAACGCTAAAGCATATCATCATCACATGTTCTTGTGCAGGCTGCAGCAGCAATTCAGCGGAAGTTGGAGCCAGATCCCATTTAAGGTATTTAGCATCACGTCGTTGCCGCTGGGGAGGGAGTTTTAGAACTAGTAGTTCATAGTTCATAGTAAGAAGATGAGTGAGACAACCCTACCTGCTTGATGGGTTGATTCTGTTGTTCAAAGCTCTTTATGCTCATATTCTACTCTTCACACATTTTGGTTTCGATCACCGTCGTCCGAGTTAAATCATCAGTAATCTTGTATCAGAACTGTAGTGAAGTAATTGAAAAAAACAGATTGGATTCAGAGATTGCAGGCGTTGTGCACCTTCCTCCCCTGAATCTGAAACTTGCCTGCCAGGAATTGAAAGTTGAAACCACCCAAATACAGTAAAAAGCGTGGCAAATTCCATGCTCAACAAAGATTTATCTACTCGATTCGCCTCACTGTGCTATCCAATGAGAAGATTCACCAAGTCACTATTGGCTGTCAATAATGGCTACTTGGGAAACTGGACACGTAAATGCTCCTCAGGCAGCAATGAAGATTGGTTCCTTGAGAATGGAGACGACGTGGTTCTTGAGCAAATACGAGTCGGTGTAGGTGTCAGCGTCCTTATAGATCTCATCAATCGCCCTCGTCAAATTCAGAATCCGATCCAGCAGCGGCGCAGCCACCGCCGTTGGCCTTAAGAACTCCTTGTTTATGTCCTTCCACGCATTGTCAACCCGCTCCCTGAACAGCTCCACCACCACCTCCTCCGCCACCTTGTGTTTCTCCATGTAACATTCCACGGCCGACGGGATGTGCTTCCTCTCTTGCTCCAACTGCAAAACATATAGCAAAACAATTCACTTCCTTTAATTTGCATGCTATGTCACCTGCAAAACAATAATTAGTTGATCAACCATGCACCAACCTTGCTGGAGACGATGTCATCCATCAGCCTGCAGACGGTGGAGGAGGCGACGAGCATTTGAGGTTCCCCGGCGATCCACTGAAAGTCCTCCTCCGCGGCGCCGGCCATGCCGAGGAACGAAACGGTTACGAGCAAGGGATAGGCGGTGGTGACGAGCGAAACTTCCATGTACTCTTCTAGCGTCGGGAAGTAGTTTGCATCCCTCCAATTAGCTTCCATTAAGAACGCCTTGAGCGCTCTGTCTAGCTGGCGATCGAGTGATCATGAAAATACCGTTAGTTAGTTAGGTAGGTAGCTAGCCGGTACGTACTATTATTTTACGTGCATGCATGGGCAAACGCTAATCAGGCATGTGTATATAAACAACCTACTTCTCTCTTCGCGTAACGTACACCGAAAGACCTTCCTTCTCCTGAGACCGCCTGTTCGAATTCGTCGAAAATGTACACATATAAGCCGTAAAGCATCTTCATGGGCCCTGGAAGTCCACTTATGAGATTGTTGTCCCAGCTGCAACCAATCAATTACAAGTTGATCAAAACGTAAAATCTCACTTTTGACTGCATTGTTTGAGACCAAATATTACATTACCTACCTCTCAATGGCTTGTGTGAGAACATCCAGTTGTTCTGCAGTAGCGTAGTTATCGTAAGTATCGTCCGTCAGAGACATGATGGCTATGAACTTGGTGAGCAGCCTCCTGGCCACGCAGTATTTGGGCTCGAAATACACTCCCATGATCCAAAAGTAGCACTCCACAATTCTGTCCCTCGCATACCAGAAGTTGGTCGGCACGTCCAAACTCCCCCACCACCTTATGCAAATAACAGAATTTGATTCTCATCTCAGCTATCCATTTCTGTGAATATCTTCCAACAATTTGAGATATTGAAATCAATTGATGATTTTTTTCTTTAGGACTTACTCCTGGATCCCACGCAGCTCTTCCTGATGCTGCTGCTGGATGATGTTGAAGTCCAGCTGCGCAAGCCTCAGTAGCGAATCGTTCCCCTGGTAGGTGTCGATGAAACGCCTCGCATCTAACCTCGGCAGGCGCTTTCGGATGGGCCTGTTTAGGGCAAAGCTCACAATCTCCGATGACGACGAGCCGATTAGGTTTTGGGTAGTGAAGGCCCTTGCTTGATCCAAGACATCTTCTCCCGGTACGGCCAGAAACGACGCCTCGTACAAGCTCAGCATTGCTGGCACGTCGGAGACCAGCGACGACGTCTTGAAGTTACCTTCGCCGTCCTTGAAATTCTCCAAAATATCTGCTGCCACAATTCACACCGTCATCAGTTAGTTATGTACAAGTAGGGGAGGGTTTGTTTTCGACATACGAATTTGGAACCACCGATGTCGACCGACCTGTGGAGACATAGAAGCCTTGTTGTCTGAGGAGACGGAACCAGAGCGCAGCTGAGCTGAGATCATTAGCGACGGAGTCGGGAACGGGAGACGAGATCATCATGTTCGATAACTCGGCTTCAATCTCACTCTCGAAGTGATAACTCAGGCCTAATCGCTGGACAACGTCGATTAATCCAAGTTTATGATCCATTGTTGATGTAGTATTCAACATCTTTCTTACTGCTTTTTTCAACTCTTCATGTTCAAGTTTGATCGTCGATGAATCGGCATCCTCCAACTGGAAGAAGCGTAAATATATACGTTATACAAATCGATCAAATTCAACTGTGTTACGTACTATTTCTTTTTTCATAATAATCATACAAAAGGTATTAGTGTTTTTGGCATACACATAGATAACAACGATTAAAGCGACGTATATATAACTGTTATTGGCAATGGAAATAGCTAGGTCTCACGAACGATCATACACGACGAACCTTGAGGGTGAGGAAATCATCAGCCCACAAAGTGGGATGATAGTTAGCAGCAGACCCAAACGCCGGCGCTGTTCCTCCTTCAGCTCTGTTCGGAAGCTGACTCGCAAAGGCGACCGACGACGACATGAGTTCCGGCGTTAAGTTTGGAAATGATGATGTACGTGGATGTGGGTGAACTAATACTGATATATGTGTAGGTATTTATAGAGGCGATAATTCACGTACTGAAACTGAAACCCCATGTTTTTTTGTATGTGTATATAATTAACATGTGCATGTGGATCCCATTGAGTCTGGCCATGTGCATATATGTCAAGTGGATTGATGCGACGTGTCATGTTATATGTTTTCTCCTTGTCTTTTCCCTACGGAGGATTGATGCCGAATTGCCGATCACTCGGAAAATGTGAATCACGCAGTTGTTAGGTTATATATTTTCTCCTCGTACGTCTTTCCCTGCAGAGGATTGATGCGACGTTCAAATTTTATAGGTTAAAATGAAAGTTTGGTTGTTGGAATTGATAAATAGTTTTACATTTGTCACTAAAATTCGTTAAATATTTTAAATTTGATTGCTTCCCTCTAACTCGGATGTAGCTGACATGTCGTTGAACGTGGAATGAGTAGCAGTTTCTCTCTCAACTACCTAGGTGCCTTTTCACGGAAGCATCACGTGTCTTACAGTATAGCTTGCTTCGCCTGATCTTGTTTCAAATCTCATGCCGACTAGTCTTGTGATAAGCTCGTGGTTGTCTCACGAAGGGGTCGTGGTACTCTCATGATGCGACCACGTGGTCGCTTCCTCGCTGCGGCGTGGTCGTGAGACGTGATCTCATGGCATGACTCTTCTTAGGACTTAGTTTATTTTCACTTTCTTGATACTCAGCTTGAGGATATCAATTAAGATTTTTCCAGAAATAGCACAATTAAAAAAAAAAGCACCTAGCCCACACAAATTCCAAAACTAGCACTTTTTTTTCAAAATCGCACCTTGGTCGTGCGTTAGCGGTTTGAGTTTATGGGACAAACCCGCATCTTGGCCAAGCGGTTATTATTCTGACATAACATAACCGCATCTTGGCCAGGCGGTTCTTAGGCTGATCTAGCAGAACTGCTTGGTGAGGCTGCGGTTCTGTTTCTCTAACACAAACCGCATTCTCAAGGGGCATGTGGTTGGCCATTGGATCGCCGTCTAATCCAACGGTGCTGGGGACCGCCGCGTCGGGAATGATGACCGCCTCATCAATGTGCGATTTTGGGGATGCCCTAGCGATCACCGCTCCCTCATTGTGCGGTTTCTACGTAAAACGCACCATGACCGTGCGATTTTGAAAAAAAAATGCTAGTTTTGGAATTTGTGTGGGCTGAGTGCTATTTTTGTAATTTTTTTTACAGGGTGCTATTATTGAAAAAATCTCATAGCAATTTAATTAGATCTTTTCACTTTTGGCCCAGTATTTCCCGTGGCCCATATGAAAGTAACGACTAACGAGTGTAATATAATAAGTCCAATTATTACAACTACTACTTATTCTTCTTGAATTTGATGGAGGCCCCAACAAGTGTGAGGCCTTGTGCTGGCGGGCCTGCCAGCACAGGCCCAGGCCGGCCCTGTTCATGTTCATGATCGTGAAAGAGTTAGTGGGTTGGGCTTATATATCAAGACCCACAAGGTACAACTTAAATAACATTTATAATTAATCTTGTCATATAATATTATTAATCACAATGTAGACAATCAATGTGGTACAAAATAATTATTAGGTGTGAACAAATACAACAGAAAATAAACACTAATTTTTTTGAATAATGAATACCAACTATATATACTAACCAAATAAAAAGCTAGCAACTTTTCCCTGGCCAAAATTTGGCTTAAACACAGCCAACAAAAGTACAAAACCCACAACCGCCCATAGCTTCTATGCCAACTTTCTTTCTGGGTAAGATCCGGTGCTTAAGCCTAGAAGTTTAAGCATATTGCTTAAGTCAATTTTATTGGCTGAAGCATTTCAAGCATTTTTCGGCAGGTAATTAGTAAGGTAATTAATAAGGGTAAACTTGGTATTAGGAAGAAATTTACTAGTTAATAAAAACCGGAAAATGTGGAACTGAAACCATTAACTTTTTTACCTCCCGGCCGCCGAAAAAGAGAAACCGACGCGATAGACTGACGGGATCGTCCGACCAACCTAGACGACCCCATCTACCATCCCACCACAGCCCGACGCCCTGGTTTCCTACATTCTGCGGTCGTGGTCCGCAAACAACAAGTCGCACCGACAACGTCCACGATGATTGTCTTCTATCCATACTTATCACAAAACCTCATCGAGAATCCATTTCAATTTCAAACAACGTATGACCTTCACCAGGCGACACGCAGGTTTGGGACAGATCAGTGCTTGTCTGCGATGCTGGGATGCTATCACTCACGACGAGAGCAACGATGCCGCCTTCGGCCGCGGGTCAGATCCGGTCCTTAAGCCTCCTTTCTTAAGGAGGATTTTAAACATATTCCACCTAATAGGAAGAGGGGAGAGACAAACAATACTAATCATTAACTAACTAACTACAAGGGAAAAAAAGGAATATTGTAAATATTAATTGAAATGGAAAACGAAAATTAAACGCATGATTTATTAAGAGGCTGCTGAATCCATTTTCGCGATGACGGTTGTCCTCTTCGCTCTCTGACCCTAAACCTTCTCGACTCTAAATCCAGTCGGCGACTCCGCAACACCCGAATAGCCTGTCCCCGACCAACAAGGTCTCCGCCGATCAACGCTTCCCCTCGACGCCGACTCCACAGACTTCCATTTTTTCGCCGTCGCCTCCGCACACGCGACTTTGTAGTCTGACTGCGGCCGCCGTTGACATGGAATGGGCTGGGACGTTTCAGTTTGGTATGGAAGTGTTTTAGTTTTTGTCCGGGATGAAATACGGTGACAACCCCTTAAGGGGGTTGTGAGATTTACAACCAACTTTGTAGCCATCGGATACGTTCTCTCTCCTGTCTCTTTCTTCTTTTTTTAAATCAATGGCAATTTCGGAATGGAAAACTAATCACATGAGATCCTTTCTATTTTCCATATAAGTACTCTTTATTAACCAAAAAATAAAATAAAAAATCAGACCCTCCCCCCAATTTCCTGCGTCTCCCTCCTCTTCCCCTCTCACCTATCTCTAACAAAAAACCTTAGCCGTCAAGAGCTCCACCACCGACCTCCATCATCGTCGACCTCAATCACCATGCAGACCTCCATAATCGTTGTCGCAGCTGCCTTCCTCCTCACGCCGACGTTTTCCCCGCCGTCCCCGCTGCCCTCGTCGCCCCAGCCGCGCTTGTCACCGTCTTTACATCACTATCGCGGCCTCTACCTCCCCCTTGGTCCGCCTCTCACCACCTCCCGTCTTCATGGCGCCGCCACGAGATCACCGCCTCTCCCCTGCCTTTCCCTTTCCTCATCTCCTAATATTTTTTTTTCCAGATCTGTGATTTTTCAGATTCCAGATCTAGTTTTTTGTGTTAGTCTTTAGTGGTACGCTACTAGTGGTACTGGTATCTATCAGAGGTAGTGGTACGCTACCAGTGGTACTGGTACGGTACCACTATTCACTGATAGCGCTACTAGTGGTAGTGGTACGCACCAGTGGTACTGGTACGCTACCACTACTCACTGGCATCGTACCAGTACCACTAGTAGAGTACCAGTACCACTGTACGCTAGATGTAAATCACTATCACTAGCGCATTCACGAAGTTGTACTTTTTTGCAGGTGGCCGGAGTGAGTCTGATTGAAGGTTGTCAACGAAAAAAAGTATGCCGGTTGGAGTAAGTTTGGCGGCCGGAGCGAAGAGGCTGTTGGAAAAAGTAGAGAGAGATAGAAGTGTATCAATTGTAGGTTTTTTTTAAAGCATGTATTTAATATAGGATTTTAATTGCCGATATGTAATTAATATAAAAAATTAATAAATAAATTTATTTTTTTATACCCAAATTACCCTTGGTTGTGAATCTCACAACCCGCTAAGGGAAAGTGACCGTATCCCATCTCGGTTGCACTTGCACCCCCATCGTGTATCTATTTTCGCAAGCCACATGCTTATTAAGAATAAAAATGTCCTTCACTCTCTCTAGCTGCCTCTGAAATACTTGAGCGGTCGAGCCAGTTTGAACTGAAAAAATATGGTGACTTTATTTGGTCCTACAACTCTCCTCGGCCCCTACTTCCCAGCCCGTTTATCTGACTCTCTTTCTCTCTTAATTTCTTCTTACATTTTGGGTGCATATTTTGTATCAGGCAAGAGCAGATGCGCGAGCGAGAAAAAACAGAAGGAGAAAGAGGTGGAAGCATTAAAGCGATCCATGCAAAGCGTAATGGTAAGCAGCCTTCATTATCAGATTCTTGATTTTGATTCTCTTAACATCCCAATAAAAACCGTGTGACTTGTGTGTACCAACTATGATGAATTATGGTCTTTGATCCTAATTAAACCATTGGTGGGCAGGCACAAGCAATGAAAGAGCAAGCACTGCTCCGGGAAGAGATGGCATATCTGTACAAGATTGGCAACAACGAGGTGAGTCCACCAAAAAACATTCCTTTTTGGCTGAATTTGATGTTCCAGTCACCCTATCATACTGATCAAACGCTAAAGCATTATCTTCATCACATGTTCTCGTCCAGGCTGCTGCAGCAATTCAGCGGAAGTTGGAGCCGGATCCCATTTAAGGTATATAGCAGATGTAGAACTTGTAATTCCAGAGTCTGGCTTAGTAAAGCGGATGTAGAACTTGCATCTTATACTGGGATGGATAGTAGGGTGAATTGAGACAACCCTTTTGATCCCAATAACTCGAATTGTTGGGAGATGTTCCATAATGGATCTCATACAATTCACTAACACACCCTCTAAAACGAAAGCCAGTCAACTCATAAGGGCTAATACATGTGCTTCACAAATGGGCTTACCGGGATTCGAACAGAAGACCTCACGGTCACAGAAGGCTATGATACCATAATTGATCCCAATAACTCGAGTTGTTAGGAGAGGTTCCATAATGAATCTTATACCATTCACGAACATCTGGAACTTGCCAATCAAGGAATTGAAAGTTGAAACCATCCAAATACAGTATAAAGTGTGAATGCTCACTTATTTGCGAGAATAGAGAAACGAAAATTTCAGTTGCGATCATCATTTCTTTCCGTTACTCCCTTTCTTCACCTCAACGACATCATCTTCGTCAATGTCGTCATAATCATCAGGTACATCCTCAATGTCGGAACCATCATCGTCAATGTCGGAATCATCATCATCATGAAATATTCTTATAAAGAAACATACGTATGAAATATGCTACTAGGGGTGGGTATTGGTGCGGTTTGGACCGCATCGCACCGCATTGATATAAACCGCACCGCACCGCATCTTAATCGAGCCGCATCGCATTTCGACCGCTAAGTTATCAGTGTGGTCAAATCAAACCGCATAAATTAACGGTTTGATACGGTTTAAACCGCAGCGCATCTAGACCGCAATTCATTACGGTTTGTACATAATTAAATAAAACTCAAACCCACCCAACTGAAACTAAGTTCCAAAGAGTAGCTCTCCATTAACATCTCATTACGAAAGAGAAAGACTGTTAATGTGGGTAACATAGCATAAGCAAAAGTTAAGTATAGACTGATGACTCACCATTTCTAGAGTAATCTAAAGAGCTGATGGAGTGGTAATTGCCTCTAAATTTTGTGAAACCAGTACACTAAAACCTATTTGGTGCACTTCACTCACAATTACACAGAAACCAACTAAGTCAAGAAAGCATGAATTGCAACTCTAGAGAAGAAAGACCTGGAAACCGCAGCATAAAAATGGTGATGGAGAAGAAAGAGCTTTACCAATTTCAATTAGGCTTACTGGTTTCTATCTTGTCTCTTCCAGTACTCTTTTGTACTGCCTACAGTTCCAAACGTTCTTGATAAGCAAAGAGACAATGCAGCATAAAAATGGCGATGGAGAAGAAAGAGCTTGACCAATTTCAATTGAGTGCGACCCTGGATTTGAAGAGGGCAAAGAGCTTGACGGACGACGATCTCGATGAGCTGAAAGGGTGTTTGGATCTTGGATTCGGTGGGTTTAGCTACGACGAGATCCCCGAGCTTTGCAATTCGTTGCCGGCTCTCGAGCTTTGTTACTCCATGAGCCAGAAGTTTCTTGATGATACTGCGCAGAAATCTTCTTCTGCTGCCGAGGGAATGGATTCTTCTTCTGACGGAGTTGCTGCTTCGGATCAGGCTGCGAGCAGAGACGGCCAACTGCTGCTGCTGCTGAGGCTGTGGAATCGGCGTCGACTGAGCGGCCGACGGGAACGGAGACTGGATCGGCGGAAACGGCTGGAACAGAGTGTTCGCAGACGAGGCCGCTGCTGCGGTAGCGGAAACCGACGGGGAGATCGCCGACTGGTCGAAGCCGACGGCGGAAGCAGCTCGCGAGGTGCAGAGGCGTACTCAATCAGATTGTGGTTTCAACTTCTCACCTCTGCGTACTCAATCTTAGCGGATTGTGGTTTCAAACCGCAACCGCGCGGTTTGGGTCAATCCGAACTGTAAACCGCCAAGCACTTAACGATCAGGCCGCAAATGAAACCGTTAGTTTAATGATGCGGTTTGGATTGACCGCATAAGCCATTTGGGGCGATTTGGAGCGGTTTGGTCAAACCAATACCCACCCCTATATGCTACCATAAACACACAAATTTAGCACACAAATAAATCCAAACAGCGTCAATTCCTGACAGCAAGTCCTGACCAATATCCCATAAACAAACATTCATGCACCTCAGACAGCAATGAAGATGGGTTCCTTGAGGATGGAGACGACATGGTCCTTGAGCAAATACGAGTCGGTGTAGGTGTCAGCGTCTTTGTAGATCACCTCAATCGCCCTCGTCAAATTCAGAATCCGATCCAGCAGCGGCGTAGCCACCGCCGTCGGCCTCATGAACTCCTTATTGATGTCCTTCCACGCATCGGCAACTCGCTCCCTGAAAAGCTCCACCACCACCTCCTCCGCCACCTTGTATTTCTCCATGTAACATTCCACGGCCGACGGGATGTGCTTTCTCTCTTGCTCCAACTGCAAAAGAAATAGTAAGTTTTCATATCACAACATACGTACTGATCGAGAGACCAATCCGGCTCAATGTTTTCTCTTATGTGGCGACACATGCATTCACAAACGGTTGATATGACATGAATCGGATTATCTGTCATAGACAATAAGTTACAGAGTCTCACTGTCTGGTCAGGGAGCCAGGGTCAAGGGGCGAAGCGACCGGTTAGAGGCTCGGAGGGAGCTAGGACGGTGTATGAGCTTATAGACATTTGAGTTTTTGTTTTGAGACTGGATTGTCCTTATTCTTTACCAATTTGGTGTCTAGAATCAGTTGATCCAAATAACTCGAGTTGTTGGGAGAGGTTCAACTGTAGATCATATATTGTTTACTAACACACCCACTCAAACGAAAGTCACTATATATATATGGTGCCTTCTCTAGTACCCCGGGTGAAATCCGGGGTACCGCATACCTTGAGTATGAAAACACTATCTAGATCTCGAATTAGCAGGATTTTTGGGCATGATACTATACCCTAACCCTTAATGAGTGAACCCTAGGTCCTAATTATCTAAATTGTAAACTATAAACCCTAAGATGGTGCATTGATTTTTCCCTCTATATGTGGACGAATCATAACCGTCAATTATTGTTTCTAATTAAATTGATCTTCGGGTAGAAGATTTAGAGAATTAAGACATAGATTTTGATCTTTAAGGGTTAGAGTATAGTATCATGTCCGAAACATCAGTCAATTCAAGTTCTGGATAGCGTTTTCTTACTCAAAGTATGCGGTACCCCGGATTTCACCCTGGGTACCGTAGAACTGCCCATATATATATATATGGGGAGTTCTACTGTACCCCGGATGAAATCCAGGGTACCGTATACCTTGAGTAAGAAAACGTTATTTAAAACTTGAATTGACTAATCTTTCGGACACGATACTACACTCTAACCCTTAAAGATCAAAATTTAGGTCTTAATTCTCTAAATCTTAGACCCCAAGATCAATTTAATTAGAAACAATAATCGACGGTTATGATTCGTCAAAATATAAGCAAAAAAATCAATTCACCATCTTATGGTTTATAGTTTATGATTTAGATCATTAGGACCTAAGGTTCACTCATTAAGGGTTAGGACATAATATCATGCCCAAAAATCCTGCTAATTCGAGATCTAGATAGCGTTTTCATACTCAAGGTATGCGGTACCCCAGATTTCACCCGGGGTACAGTAGAAGGCACCATATATATATATATTTGAAATTTGCACAGGTTCGGACACCATGTGCTTAACAGAACATATGAGGTCATCATGATTCGAACAAAAGACCTCTCGGTCACAGAAGGCTCCGATGCCATGCCAAGAACCAGTTGATCCCAATAACTCGAGTTGTTGAAAGTGGTTCATTCGTAAATCATATACCGTTTACTAACAATTGATTAGGGTTATGACGTTAGGCCGTTAGGAGAAGTATTATATCTACTTCTCAATCCCTCTATAATCTCCATATATATAGTAAACTGACTCTCTCCTGTCTGTGGATTAACTAACTAATACTTATTGGTAAGTAAACCATGTAAATTTGTGTGTTATTGACTTTCTTGTATTGTCGATTATCCCAACATGTTCTTAATTAATACAAAGCAAAGCTGAAACCTCGAACCTTGTGGGAGACGATGTCGTCCATCAGCCTGCAGACGGTTGAGGAGGCGACGAGCATCTGAGGTTCCCCGGCGATCCACTGAAAGGCCTCTTCCGTGGCGGCGTCGGCGCCGGCCATGCCGATGAACGAAACCGCAGCGAGCAAGGAATAGCAGGTGGTGCCCAGTGAAACTTCCATGTACTCTTCTAGCTTCGGGAAATAGTTTGCATCCCTCCACTTGGCCTCCATTAGGAACGCCTTAAGGGCCCTGTCTAGCTGGCAGTGATCATGAAAATATAGGTAGTTAGTTATATAGCGGTACGTACGTACGTACTACTTTTACGTGCATGCATGCATGCATGGCCACCGATAACGTAACCTACTTCTCTTTTCGCGTAACGTGGAGCAAAAGACCTTCCTTCTCCTGAAACCGCCTCTTCGAATTCACTGAAAATGTACACAAATAAGCCATAGAGCGTCTTCATGGACCCTGGAAGTCCATTTATGAGATTGACGTCCCACCTGCAACCAATTACAAGTTCACTCATGCATGAAACCAACATGTTCAGCTCTGCATTTAGAGAGATCATACGTTGAAGTAGTCGCCGTAAAGAAGTGGTTAAGTAATGTACAACATTATAAAAACAGGAATTTTGGCGACGAATTCTGCAGCGACCAAGTGTATTTTGTCGCTAAAAGTACTCTTTTGTTAGCATGCGTTCAAATAATCTCAACTTCCGGACCATTTTATTTCTGGAGTTGGGAAAAATGTTAGCTTCGGAATTGTATTATTAGCGACGATACCAAATTTTTCGTCGCAGAAACCTAACACGACCCGGTATAGGCGACGGAGAAAAAAAGTGTTTTGCGACGGTATAGTTCGTCGCAAAAACTTTAACGACGAAAACTCTGGTGTTTTAGCGATGAGTTGTCATGTCGCAATAAAGCTATGTTTGTTGTAGTGATATGAACATTTTCCAACAACTCGATCTACTGATACCAACTGGTTATTAACAATCGCATACTAGTTAACCATTACCTCTCAATTGCTTGTGTGAGAACATCCAGCTGTTCGGCCGTAGCGTAGTTATCGTAAGTATCGTCCGTCAGAGACATGATGGCTATGAACTTGGTGAGCAGCCTCCTGGCCACGCGATACTTAGGCTCGAAATACGCTCCCATGATCCAAAAGTAGCACTCCACGATTCTGTCCCTCGCATACGAGAAGTTGGTCGGCACGTCCAAACTTCCCCACCACCTTAATTATGCACAACACAATTTGGTATGTGTCGTAATCAGCTTTCAGGGATATTGCTACGTACTCAAGTAGATTACTTAATCAAAAATACTTTTTTTTCTTTCTCATGGACTACTCACTCCTGGATCCCACGTAGCTCTTCCTGATGCTGCTGCTGGACGATGTTGAAGTCCAACTTTGCAAGCATCAGTAGGGAATCGTTCCCTTGATAGGTGTCGATGAAACGCCTCGCCTCTAGCATCGGCAAGCGCTTTCGGATCGGCCTGTTGAGGGCGAAGCTTACCTGATCTTCTGCCATCAGTTTCGTCGGGCTCGTAATCTCCGCCACCGCCGATGATGATGAGCCGATTAGGTTTTGGGTAGTGAAGGTCCTTGCTTGGTCCAAGATATCTTCTCCCGGCGTGGCCAGAAACGATGCTTCGTACAAGCTCAGCATCGCCGGCACGTCGGAGACCCATGAGGACTTGAAGTTCCCTTCCCCGTCCTTGAAATGCTCCAAGATGTCTGCCACAAAGTAATACGGATTTATAAAACAGCCCAAAATATCACCACCATAGAAAATTTATAAATTAGGTCAATAACCTCAAAGCAGACTAATAAGTTTAGTAAAGTGTGACGGAAACTTCAAAAAAGGCAGACCACAAATTTCTTAAAGCATACACGAATCTTCATAAAACATGCTATAAGTTCTCCGAAGCAGCATCATAAAGCAGATCACAAGTTTATTAAAACATATAAGAAACCCCATATAGCATACCACAAGTTTCTTAAAGCAGACAATAATAAACCACATAAATCAGACTACAAGTTTAATAAGGCAGGCCACACATTTCTTAAAACATAACAGGAATGAGAAATCTTATAAAACAGACTACAAGTTTCTTAAAACAGACCACGAATCTCATGGACTTGAACCTATTTGTGAATTTTAAAAAAATTTAGGTATGTAAATGTAAGAAATAAAATATTTAGGTACTAAAATGTAGTTTTCATCAATGTTTTAGGACTTGTATGCAAATAATGAATTTTAGGTTCTAAATATTGAAATCTATTAAGTTATATGTACCAAATTGTAAGTTTTATATGAAACCCAAGCACATGAAACCTAATCTATTATAATATAACCTTAATGAATTATGCTGGCATGGTGCTAATGCTAAGGGTGTTAGCACACTATTCGATTCCACGATGAGTTAGTTATCTTCATGCATATACAAATAGCATTTATTTTCAACTATGTACAACTTTGGAACGACCAATTACCTGGGGAGACATGAAAACCTTGTTGTCTAAGGAGACGGAACCAGAGCGCAGCTGAGTTGAGATCATTAGCAACGAAGTCAGAAACGGGAGACGACACCATGTTCAGTAACTCAGCTTCAATCTCACTCTCAAAGTGGTAGCTCACACCTAAACGCTGAACAACGTCAATTAGTCGCAATTTTTGAGTTTGATTGACTGTTGTAGGAGCATTCAGCATCTTTCTTACTTCTTTTTTCAACTCTTCATGTTGAAGTTCAACCGTTGATGCATCGACGACATCCTCACACTATAAGAAGCGTAAAATCGTAATTGGAATGTTATTACAATATATATGATTTGTCAAAATTGAGATTGAAAATATCATAAAATTGTAACTGGAAGATTTTTTTTTTTGGCAAAAGATACTTCCTATTGTAACTGGAAGATGGACTTGTGAACCCTAGCATTTAGGGTTGATAAATTTCGCCCTAAAAATTAGAAGTTCAAATTTATGATTTTAATCCTTTTTCTAGTTTAACTTTTCGGCAATTGCTCGAGTCCCTTCGAAATGATTGATAGTGACTTTGATGAGGTAAAGATTCCTCCTCCTCCCCTAAACTATATAATATATACTTAATTTAATTCTAACACCATACCAATATGATAACAATTTATAATATTATCTCACATTGTTGTATTATGATCTTGCCTCTAGAGAAATTTTACTATGCTATATAGTATTGGTGCTATAGGTTTTTGCCTTTATGGTATAACTTGAAGTTATATCTTTAACGTTATGGTACAACTTTAGATTGTACATATACTCTTGTACAAATTCTTTCATGGTACAACTTGAACTTGTACATTTATGTGATGGTACAACTTTAAGTTGTAAAGTTGTACCATAACATAAGGGTACAAATTCCTTTATGGTACAACCTAAACTTATACATTTAACGTTATGGTACAACTTCAAGTTGTACATTAAAGCACCCATACTTTAGATCATAGTAGAAGTGCTCCTTGCCTCTATGGTAAGAGTGACAACACACTAATACCACATATCATGATATTATCAATATAGTAGTAAGATGACATAATTTTTTTTGCTCCAAAGATTTTAAAATGGATAGAACACAAAAAAAAAATCTAATTTTTCTATGCAATTTTTTTTAATATTCGATGTAAAACGAACATAATATGATTCATTAAATTTTCGTACGGGATTCGAGAAGTCCTTTAACAATACATCTGAAAATTTATGCCAGCCTAAAAATTTCTGGTCAGATACCCAAATGTACGACCAGCTATGCCAAAATCACTCATTACCTCTTCCTCCTTAAATTACAATCATTATATCTGGTTTTTTTATAGATCTAAATATAGGAAGGATTTTGTACTGAAATCTAAGCCCATAAATAATACCATTTATAGCTGGGAATTAAGAGCGAACCGAACCTTGAGAAAATCATCAACCCACAAAGTGGGAAGATAATTAGCAGCAGCAGGTCCAAACGCCTGCGGTACTGTTCCTTGTTTAGCTCTGTTCGGAGGACCCGCGGAGGCGATCAACTGTGGCACAGACGACGACATAAGTCCCGGCGTTAAGTACTTTGGATCGCCGACCAGTGGAATTGACGATCGATGAACTATACTGATATATGTAGGCGTTAATAATCAAAATATAATGCCTTGTGGATCCCATTATTTTGCGGCAATTAACTTATTTCTCGAGGGGCCGGGGCTGCATTTGAATTAGTAGAAGCAAACCCGGTGTGACATGACGTGACTGAGGCCAGAATTATTATTATTATTCACTGTACAATCTTCAGGGATTGAAACCCATCAATTATTGGAAGTTTGGTCGCCGAGTTTTCTGAAACCGTTTGCATTTGGACGCTGAAAATATTTAATTCCATTCGTGGTTACTAAAACTAGTTAACTAGTTCAAAATTGGTCACTCTTCCGTCCAATTCCGTTATCTTTATCCTATGTGACGATCAACTCTCATGGTTGAACGTGAATTGAGTGACACTTGACTTGTTAATTTAAAATAAAAATAATGTACTGACTGTGTTAACAGAGTATGACTGAAGTTAACGTAAAGTGACTATACACGATCTAGCGAATTAATTTTAGCGAACACAAATGGAATAAAATATTTTCCGTATCAGCACGAATTTTTTTTTTTAATAATCCAAGTGACTAAACTTGCAATTTACCTCATTATAGGTGAAGAGACAAACACATCACTAACAGGCAACAGCCATGGGAGAAACGAGATAAGTAAACATGCAGAAGTCAAAGCATTGCGGGTGATGGAGGAGGAAGCCGCCAGACCAGAAGTGATAAGAGTTGACAGTGTGGGGGCTGTAGGAAAAAGCTTGCCAGAGAGAGGCAATAATTCACTGAAAACCCATATTCTCTTTAATAATTGTTAAAAAGATATCAATGTTCAAATAATTCATTCATATGAAATAATTTTCATTCATATGAAATAATTCATTACCACAAATTTAATTTCCTTTTGTACAGACGAACAGTGGCATGGTTTTATACGAAAAACATTATTTTCCTCCCCTATATTATTAAGTAATGTATCAAACTAAATTTATTTTATTGTATGTTAAACTTTTTTGTATTGCATGAATGTATAGTATTCAAATTCTACGTGTACCCTTATTTTGTCAAGCGAGTCTGGAAATCATTGAGGCAACATGATCTTGTGGTTCCTTGGTTTAAACTGGTTTGGGGCAAGTCTATTATTCCACGGAATGGGTTTATTCTTTGGCTGGTGGTCAATGATCGCATGAAACTTCAGGACAAACTCCTGGCTTGGGGTAAGCAAGTTTCGGAGATGTGTACTTTATGCCCTGGTGGTGTGGAAAACCGATGGTACTTGTTCTCTGCTTGTCCTTATATTCAACATTTGAATAGTGTAATTTTGCACGGTGATTCTCCTCCTGTTTGTAATAGTTGGCAAGCCGTTTTACAGTGGTGTTTGAAGGAGTGGAGAGGGGATATGCCTTCTGCTATTTTCTGTCGTGTTAGTTGGAGTGTGAATTGTGAGTCTTGTGTGGCGTGAAAGGTGCTCCAGGTTGTATGGATCTGGCGCAACAGGAGTCCCTCTCAGTTGTTTCTTGTTGCTAAACGGAGTATTAGGAGTCGATGTCTTCAGAATCAAGCTTTGATTGATTGCTTTGATTCTAGGGACTTGGGGTAGTGTTTTTGGTTTACTTTGATAGGTTTCCTTTTTTGAGGGTTTGTTGTGCATAAACGGTTTGTCTTTGGAAGGCTCCATAGCGTTTTTGCTATTGGAGTCGGTTCTTAATGCAATTTTGATTTAACCATAAAAAAAATCAATGTGTACACCTATCTGGGTTTCAATAATTTTCTTCCAAATTTTATGTGTGTCCCCGTAACAGCTCCAAATAGGACTGGCTCCACCACTAGCTTCTTATGGTTGGATGAGTAAAAACATCTAGCCTGTGGCTTTGATCATTATTAGGGATGGCAGAAGAAGAACCATGTTGATGTGACTTGAATCAGACTATCAGCCGCTATGACTGGTAGTTGGGGGTCTCGCGGTGTATGAGCTCAATGTTATTTGAGTTTGGGTTCTTGGCGTGGTCTGTAACCATTTTCGTTGCCAGATTGGATTAGATTTAGACCCACATACTCCTTTACCAGATTGGAGAAGTACTATAAATACTTCTCATACTCCTCTGTAATCTGTAATCTTCTTGATATAGTGAAACTGGCTCTCTCTCCTCCGTGGACTAGCTAACACACATCGTGTTAGTGAACCACGTAAATCGTGTGTCTGTGTTTTTCGATTCTCGCTTTATCGATTCCGGCAATTTTCCGATCCGTAACAACCCGTTTATAACAACCCCAAATTAGGGTATTGCCCAAATTCATTTTATTATAGACCAAATAAGGTTTAGGGTAAGATTACTTTTGCGGACTCAATATATGATTTTTTATTAGTTTTGGGTCTAAATCAAATCTATTATATATTTAGCACATCATAAGAAAATAAATACCCTATTTAATGCATTTTTGTATTTTTCTTTGTCCAGAGAAAGATGCAAATACCAACATTAAAAATACAAATTGGATCGAAAGTAATTAGCACTTTGTGTCATATTGTCTTTTACAATAAAGGACCGATTCTGATAGTATGTAACAATATTTTGACGAAATAAACCTCACAAAATACATATGTTTTTTGGGTGGAACAGAAGAAAAGCACGTATATAATATTAGAATCTTTGTTACAAAATCCTTCATTCAAAAAGCACGATGACCATATGAAACTGGAATTAGATGGAGAGCATGTTGTCTTTTCAATATCGCTCCAAAGCATTCAGTCATATCGATGCTTTTCTGTCCAGCAGGAAGCGTCCAGTCAAAATGGAATAGCAAATTTGCAAGAGTAAGTTTCACAATCGCCATTCCAAAAGAAATTTCTGGACATATCCTTCTTCCAGCACCAAATGGAATGAATTGGAATTCGGTTCCTTTATAGTCAATTGAGCTGCCCATGAATCTCTCAGGGAAGAATCTCTCGGCCTCTGTCCAGTAACGAGGATCTCGATTGATGGCCCAGGCATTCACGATGACACTGGTGTTGATAGGAACCTCGTATGAACCAAGCTCCACCCTCCGATCTCTATTTTCTCTTGGAAGAAGCAAAGGACCCGGCGGGTGTAATCTTAAACTCTCGGCGATTACCATATCCAGATATTTCATTTGATCAATGCTTGCCTCGCCGAAATGATTTTTGCCATCATCACCAAATATTCGTCTGACCTCCTGTTTTGCCATTTGTAGAACTCTCGAATCATTGATCATTTCCGACATGATACACTCTATTGCTGCAGCTGATGTTTCAATGCCAGCTAGAAATATTTCCTAATAAACTCAGTATATATGGTGAGTATCATAAAAAACAATTTTAGGTGGAAACAACAATAGTATTAACATCATCATATCTCACCATATGTACTCACCAGTATTATTGCTTTAACGGCCTCCATTGTGATGGGAACTCCAAGATCCAGCTGGGCTTCCTGAAGATTCAGAAGGACATCAATAAGATCCTCTTCCTGTCCATGATGATCATCTTTTACAACTGTCTCCCTTCTTCTCGATTTATGTTCATCGATTATTTGATCCAGCACCGAATCCGACGCCTCCCGCATCTTCTCTAGCTTAGCTTTGAACCCGGTGAGGACAGGCAGCAACTTGAGGGAAGGATAGAGATCGGAGATTCTGAAACCTCCAAGAACATCCGAAATATTCTCGACGACGGTCATAAATGCTTCGGTTAGTTCCTGCGCTTTACCTATAAGAGAACGATAACACGATTCATAATTAACCTTCTTCCAACAACTCAAGTTATTGAGATCAACTGGTTTATGACGTTACCGAATGCTGCCCTGGAAGTTATGGCGCTCGTTGTTGCGGACAGCATTCGGGTGAGATCCACGGGCTCCCCTGCAGCTGCAGAGCGAGCGATAGAGGTCACAAGATTGGACACCTCCTCTTCCCTGATGCGGCGGAAAGATTGAACTCTTTTCGCGCTGAGAAGCTCGAGGGTGCAGATCTTGCGCATCTGGCGCCAGTACTCTCCGTAGGGCGCGAAACCTATGTCCTTGCAGCCGTGGTAGATTATGTCCGGGGCCAGGAGATAAGGCCTCGAAGCGAAAGCTACGTCATGGGTTTTCATCACTAGCTTGGCCGCTTCAGGAGTTGAGATTACGATGTAAGAGAGCTCTCCGAGCTGAAGGCTCATCACGTCCGGACCGTGTTTGCGGGACAGGTCCCTGAGCCGCCGGTGGGGTTGGCCGCCGGCCATCTGGTGGATGTTTCCTATGATGGGTAGCTTCCATGGCCCCGGCGGCAGGTTTGAAGCGGCGGTTTTGGATAGCTTCTGCTTTAGGATGATGAATAAGGTGAGTACAAGAATGGTTGCAAGTGCGAGGAGGAAGGGGATGTCGAAGAAGGGTGAGCAAGAGATCATGTTTTGGTAATGAACTAATGATCATAGTAGTGTCTTGACTGATGCCGTGAGATGTGATTAATAAATCATGCATTTTTATGTTGAATAGTCAACAATTAATAAATTCGAGTTGACGCCTTTCCTTTTCCCAAAAAAAAAAAAAAAAATTTCAAGATAAATGACTGTAAACAAAGTTATATGTGGCAGAGATCGAGACACGAGTGCATCTCCTTGTATTTCCTCATTTAAGTCAAGGCTTGTCTCATTCACAAAGTAGATAGATAGGGTCAATTAAATGAATGGTCACGTATATTTGGGGTCACTTTCAAATAGTCACCTATACGTAGAGTTGGCAGTGGGTCGGTTTCGGATAAATCGAGACACGATCAACTGTTTTTGCTTATCGATCTTCCCTCCAGCCTCGATTAGCCGCAAACCGACCGGCCGGTTTTCAGTTTCGACGCAGTTTAACCAGGGCAACCAAAATTTGAAGGCGGTTCGGTTGGAGCCACCTAATCGACCAGAACCGACCGACGAACAAGGGAACAAAACTAAAATCGCCTAAAATTAAAATCTCAAACCTACATTTCAATTCCTTTTGCATCGAAAATACATCTAAATTATTCATTAATTCAACAACATAAACTCTACATATCACAACAAATCCTCCAGATAACAACAAATCAACAAAACATTATCATCTGTCATCACTTATCACCAGCCTTAGAAGAACCAACATCTGCATAACCCTGTTCGTTCAATTGGGGCAACAAGTCATGACCATAATCATCATATCCATCTTTCTCATACTCTTCCTCTGGTACTTCTTCTTCACCCTCCTGCTCATTCTCCAGTGGAATGTTGAGGCTTGCATCTGCATTGCCAACATTGCCAACATTCGTTGCACTTTCCATTCTAGTTTGGAAAGTGGCATTAACTGAGTAAGAAAAAAAAAAAAAGGAAAACAAAGTGTTAGTACATTCATACATTGAATTAGGTGGTAAGAAGGCAAAAAACTGAACAATAAGAGAGTTTCAGAACTCACTACTTTCCAAAGTCAAATTCTCTTCATCATCTTCCTTATCGTCAATCTCCCTGGATCCGGGATACCTTATCCAATCCTCAGCACAAATCAATGCCTCCACCATTAGGTCGCTCAAAGAGGACTTGAATGGACTGAGAATCCGCCCGCCACAACGGAATGTTGCCTATGAGGCAACAAAAGAGATGGGAACAACTAGGACATCCTTAGCCATCTCAGCAAGAATCGGATATATTCCAGAGTGTCAAGACCACCAATCCAATATGTCAAACTTTTCATCATCACTCTCTTCATTGATATGCCATCAGTTTGACATTTCAAATAGATGTCAAGCTCAGCAGAGCTACCTCCTGTTTCCAGCAAAAGTGCTTCCCTTTTTCTCTTTCTAAGCCTCTCCTCCAATTTCTTAATCCGATCACCAGCACCATCACCATAACCATCATCAACAATTTTATCATCAGTGGTAGGCTGAGATGCAGACTCTGATCCATACTTCCTCTTATAAATCTCAAACATCTGGTGCATCTCCCTTTTAATAGAACTCTGAATTTCTCCTCCTTTGATACGTCCATAAATTATTTCCAACACTTCAGACACCTGATCAAGTTTACTTCTAGGATCAAGCAAACATGCTATATAAATTAAATGATTCACCTTCATATTCTCCTCATTCATGACAGGTGTCTCAAACCAATACTTTTGTATCTTTTTTCAACCTTTTCTGCCATCTTTTGGAGCTCTTCATGCAAATCATTCTTCAATTCCTCAATGATGTCATAAACTAGAACAAGTTTCTTGAAAGAAGGATGGGTAGTCACATATTTAGTTCCTGTACAATGAGAATAGAATACAAGAAATTAAACTTAAACAAACCAAAATTATCAAATGATCAAATTAAAATAAAACAAAGTGAGCAAAAATTCCACTTACCCGAGACTATGAGGGTAAAATCATTAAAGACTTTCAGATACTTCATAGACTTCCTAATCAGCTGCCAATCTTGTTCAGTTGGAAGACCACCTCTTGCGTCAACATAATCCCCGAAGGAATGATCGTGTATACTTGAATACAAAGTTGTAAACACTCCACCATACCTTTCTGCTGCTTCTAACATGATATAGGTGGAGTTCCACCTGGTCGGTACATCCAAACACACCAATTTGGTTGACTCCAACTCCAGAAATTGCATGGCAATCTTGAACCTGCACCGATTTGGGCGTATTTATTCAGGGTCAATTTTTGGCAGATTCCAAAGGGGTACCATCACAGATTTCGGGCGATTTATCTAAAATGCCATTTTCTTTCGAATCCGGAGGCTACAGATCACGGAATCAGGCCGAGGCTATTCTCCACCGATAATGAAGTCTATTGATCCTATTCTCCGTGGATGATAAATCCATTAAGCACTGATTTGGGCCAATTTATTTTTTGATGGCATTTTCGTAAATTTTTGGGCGACGACATGCCATTTTCTTTGGATATTGAAGGCTACAGATCACAGATTCGGCCTGAGGTTATTCTCCAACGATGATTGAGTCAATTAAGCACTGATTTTGGCGGATTTATTCCGGATAGATTTTTGGAAGATTCCAAAGGAGTACCATCACAGATTTCGGGCGATTTATCCGAAATGCCATTTTCTTTCTATTATGGAGGCTACAGATCACAGATTCAGGCAGAGACTATTCTCCACCGATAATGAAGTCTATTGATCATATTCTCCACGGATGATAAATCCATTAAGCACCAATTTGGGCCAATTTATTTTCGGATGGCATTTTCGTAATTTTTTGGGCAACGAAAGGCCAATTTATTTGGATATTGAAGGCTACTGATCACGGATTTGGCCTGAGGCTATTCTCCAACGATGATTGAGTCCATTAAGCACCGATTTGGGCGGATTGATACCGGGTCAATTTTTGGCATATTCCAAAGGGGTACCATCACAGATTTCGGGCGATTTATCCGAAATGCCATTTTCTTTCGATTCTGGAGGCGACAGATCACGGAATAAGACGGAGGCTATTCTCCACAGACAATAAAGTCTATTGATCCTATTCTCCACGGATGATAAGTCCATTAAGCATCGATTTGGGCCAATTTATTTTCGAATGGCATTTTCGTAATTTTTTGGGCGACGAAGGCCATTTGCTTTGGACTTTCAAGGCTACAGATCATGGATTCGGCCTCAGACTATTCTCCAACGATGATTGAGTCCATTAAGCACTGATTTGGGCGGATTTATTTCGGGTCAATTTTTGGCAGATTACAAAGGGGTACCATCAAAGATTTCGGGTGATTTATCCGAAATGCCATCTTCTATCGATTCTGGAGGCTACAGATCACGGAACCAGGCCGATGCTATTCTCCACCGATAATGAAGTCTATTTATCCTATTCTCCACGGATGATAAGTCCATTAAGCACCGATTTGGGCCAATTTATTTTCTGATGGCATTTTCTTAATTTTTTGGGTGACGAAATGCCATTTTCTTTGAATATTGAATGCTACAAATCACGAATTCGGCCTAAGGCTATTCTCCAACGATGATTGTGTCCATTAAGCACAGATTTGGGCGGATTTATTCGGGGTCAATTTTTGGCAGATTACAAAGCGGTACCATCACATATTTCGGGCGATTTATTTGAAATGCCACTTTCTTTCGATTCTGGAGGCTACAGATCACGGAGTCAGGCCGAGGCTATTCTCCACCGATAATGAAGTCTATTGATCCTATTCTCCACGGATGATAAGTCCATTAAGCACCAATTTGGGCCAATTTATTTTCTGATGACATTTTCTTAATTTTTCTGGCTACGAAAAGCCATTTTCTTTGGATATTAAAGGCTACAGATCAAGGATTCGGCCTGCGGCTATTCTCCAACGATGATTGAGTCCATTAAGTACCGATTTGGGCGGATTTATTCCGGTTTAATTTTTGGCAGATTCCATAGGGGTACCATCACATATTTCAGGCGATTTATTCGAAATGTCATTTTCTTTCGATTCTGTAGGCTACAGATCACAGAATCAGGCCGAGGTTGTTCTCCATCAATAATGAAGTCTATTGATCCTATTCTCCATGGATGATAAGTCCATTAAGCACCGATTTGGGCCAATTTATTTTCTGATATCATTTTCTTAATTTTTTGGGCGACGAAAGGCCATTTTGTTTGGATATTGAAGGCTACAGATCACAGATTCAGCCTGAGACTATTCTCCAACGATGATTGAGTCCATTAAGCACCGATTTTGGTGGGTTTATTCCGGGTATATTTTTTCCAGATTCCAAAGGGGCGCCATCACAGATTTTGAGCGATTTTTCCGAAATGCCATTTTCTTTCGATTTTGGAGGCTACAGATCACGAAATAAGGCCGAGGCTATTCTCCACCGATAATGAAGTCTATTGATCCTATTCTACACGTATGATAACTCCATTAAGCACCGATTTGGGCAAATTTATTTTCTGATGGCATTTTCTTAATTTTTTGGGCGACGAAAGGCCATTTTCTTTGTATATTGAAGGCTACAGATCACAGATTCTGCTTGAGGCTATTCTCCAACGATTATTGAGTCCATTAAGCACCGATTTGGGCGGATTTTTTCAGTGTCAATTTTTGGCAGATTCCAAAGTGGTACCATCACAGATTTTGGGCGATTTATTCGAAATGCCATTTTCTTTCATTTTTGGAGGCTACAGATCACGGAATCAGGGCGAGGCTATGCTACACCAATAATGAAGTCTATTGATCCTATTTTCCACGAATGATAAGTCCATTAAGCACCAATTTAGGCCAATTTATTTTCGGATGACATTTTCATAATTTTTTTGGCAACGAAAGGCTATTTTCTTTGGATTTTGAAGGCTATAGATCACGGATTCGGCCTGAGGCTATTCTCCAACGATGATTGAGTCCATTAAGCACTGATTTGGGAGAATTTATTCCGGGTAATTTTTGGCTGATTCCAAAGGGATACCATCACAGATTTCGGGCGATTTATCCGAAATGCCAATTTCTTTCAATTCTGGAGGTTACAGATCACAGAATCAGGCCGAGACTGTTCTCCTCCGATAATGAAGTCCATTGATGATAAGTCCATTAAACACTGATTTAGGCCAATTAATTTTCGGATGACATTTTCGTAATTTTTTGGGCAACGAAAGACCATTTTATTTAG